TGGATTAATGCAGGTTTCTTTCATGCATGGATTGTAAAATACCAGGACACACTCTTTATGTAACAATGACTATTACTATTATTGTTGGTGTCAATTGCAGCTTTTTTAAACATATATACTTATATGTGACTTCTGATGTATTTATAGTAACAGAGATACAACAGGTTATCAAAGGTGCATGTAAACTGGTTTTTCACAAGTATGACCTGATAGATCGTCTGTTATTCTGTAGTTGTAAACACATTCCTGCTTTCTGTCATAATGTCTCTTATCCTTCAGGTGCTCAGAACAAATGTGCTAAATTCCTGTTGAGCTGCATGAAGTGCTGCTTCTGGTGTCTGGAGAAATGCATCAAGTTCCTCAACAGAAACGCTTACATCATGGTGAGTTCTAATCTCTGGATACAGCTGCAGGAAAGATGCTGCATCTGGATAGATTTTGATTTTTGGAATTTGTTTTGAAAGATCGCCATCTATGGAAAAAGTTTCTGTCCTTCAGCTCGAGATGCCTTTTTCCTTCTCATGAGGAACATCATCAGGTGGGATTACATTACATATACATCCGTGCACTATTGAAGCTATTCTTAGCCTGGTTCATTTGATGTAATCTCATATTCTGTGCTTGTTTCATCTCAGAGTCGCTGTTCTCGACAAAGTGACTGACTTCCTACTGTTTCTTGGGAAGCTCCTCATTGTTGGCATTGTTGGTAAGGGACTGTGTGTTTTTTAGACCAAAGGTATTTATTTCTAAACAAGTGGAGAGAGATAGCTGTCTGGCTTTCTACATCTCATTATTATTTTCTCTGTGCAGGGATCTTCTCTTTCTTCTTCTTCTCTGGGAGAATCAAAGCAGTAGAGGACGCTGCTCCATCTCTGAACTACTACTGGGTGCCAATACTGGTAAAAAAAAACCTTTTTATTATATATTTTTGTCTTTGTTTGTGTCTTATACGTGTGTTGAACCAATTTTCCATCCTGAGATGTTCGTATTCTTTGCTTTTTGAATTTGAATCTGTCACATATTACAAAACGCCATCAACACACCCACTAGCTCACTGTGAATCCTGTGGAGCATCTCCTGCTGTGTTCTCACATGGGCTCAATCGGGCTCAATCGAGCATTATCTGGAGTTTTTACTCGGGGCCTGGCAGGAGAAACAGTGAGAGTCCAGAGCCTCTCACTCGGACATTTGTGTTCTCACATACAGCCCCTCTAGGAGTTCAGTGCATGTCTGAAAGCATTTTATGATTTAAACATACAGCTCATGTCTTGATTGTGTTTGATTTCTTTCACCCAGACAGTGGTAGTGGGATCCTATCTCATCGCCCATGGTTTCTTCAGTGTGTACGCCATGTGTGTGGACACACTCTTCCTCTGCTTCTGTGAGTAACTTTACATTCAGTTGATAGCAAAAACTCTTGCAGATCTTTCTACTCTTCATGATTTCAAACACTGGAACAACTGTCTCAAACTGAGCTGCTGGTTCTGCTTCTTCTTCCTGCCATGTTTCTGACTCGTCTTCTCTTTGTCTCGTTTCCCCCTGTTAATTTCACTTTACTTTTATTTCTACACATTCCCTTTATTCCATGTTTTCATTTCCCCCCCTAATTTCCATTAACCCAATCAAACACACTACAAATGCATCCCCACACGCTGAAAAGGTGAGGACCTGGAAAGAAACGATGGCTCATCTGAGAGGCCTTACTTCATGTCCCCCGAGCTGCATGAGATCCTCTCCAAAACAAAGAGGCTGGAGGAAGATCACGATGGCGTTGAGCAGGCAGATGCCGCGAAGCCTGCAGATGAGGTGAAACTGGAGGAGGAGACGCCTCTTCAGCAACTGAAGGATGGAGAGATCCAACTGAAACAGCAGACAGTGCTGAAGCAGGACAACGAAGAGGAGCAACCGCTGCAGTCCAAGACTGACGAAGAGGAGCCGAGAGAGGAGAAAAGCGAAGAACTGACGGTTGATCAACCAGAAGAGGCTGAGAAGAAAGAAGTCGTGGAGGTGAAGGAAGAAGCAGAAAAGCAGGAGGAAAAACCGAAAGACAAGACGGAGGAGGTGACCCCACCAGCTGTGGAGGCTGAGAAAGAGGAGACTGGTGGAAAGGAAGAGGAAAAGGTGGAATCTAAGGAGGAAAATGCTCCCTCTGCACCACAGGAATAGAAGTCAGCAGTAATGTAAGAGAGGCTTGGTAAACCTCAAAAAGAATGAAAGAGCTCTGTTCAACTTTGTGACATGGACCTGATAAATGTGCGGCATACACCGAGCTAAAATGTCAAATGTCCTTGCTGTGTGAGCAGGTTGACGCCCGGCCGGAGGAGGTTTGTGTTGGTCGTGTGAAAGCAGGTGAAAAAAGCCCAGTGCATCTCTGTAGCTTGAAAAAAAAAAAACGCTCTGTTGTGTTGGTTTTAGAACAGTGTTGGTTTTTATATAGTGAAGATCTGTAGAACATTGTGAGTGCTGAACCTGTGCCTGATTACTGTCACTGATGTCTGTCGTCCTAACCCTGTTATAATGAATGCAATACAGAGCCACACGAGTACAGTCACAACACACACATCTCCACTGTTTACAATAATACCAGCTGACGCCAAAACCTTACAGACATATTTGATATACTGTATGAATATTGGATCTTTTTTTTCTTATAGAACTTGTGTATATACACAGTAGCGTATGCCTATGATGTATTTTTTTGGCTTCAGTCTTGTAAAGATCCTCGCCAAGACGGGATCCCATGTATTGTATTGCCACCTACTTGCCTTGGTATTTCTTGGACTGGCGTTAAGTGCTGTGGCTGCGTTACCATGATGACGCAGCTGTCACAACCTCTCAGACTCCGTGGAACCCAGCGCCCCCTGTTGTTTACTGACCATAACTACCTGGCTCTGTCCCTGTCCTCTGCCTCTCTCTCTTTCTCTCTCTTTAAGTGCTGCATGGTGTTGACTTGACCTCCCGAATGCTCTTAACTAACATCTTAAGTCTCTGGATGCTTTTGTACCTTTTTCTCTTGATTGTCACCTTGTGAAAGATGTAAGTTGATTTTCCACTGAAATGAATGATGACATTCCATATTTATTGGCTGTGAATCTTGATTAAAGGTGATTGTATTATTATCATAGTGGTTCTGTTATGGTGTGTGTGTGTCAAGGTGAGTTGGTGTTTGGAAGCAGTTGAGTTCAGACCTGGCATTAACACATTTTAGTGTCAGGTGTGAAAGGAGGAACTTAACATTGTCCACTTTGGATCTCTCAGGACGTATGTCAATAGCAGGTCTGAACAGGGCCTATGTGTCCAACATAATCAGACAGGGCTGACTTTGTCTTAATGGGGCACTACAAGAATCGTGATATCAGAAGTACAACTGTGTAAAACAGTTTCTGAGTGTTATAAATAAACTTTATCTTATCTTTGTAACAGAAATAATCTAAGCCTCTGGGAACCACTAACTTGGATCTTTATTTCATTTTATTTAAAGACTAACTTAAAACCACATGATTAGTTGTTTTTTCCTTAACTGCTTGAAGACAAAGCTGATTTTTATATAGACAATACATATGTGCAAGCATGGGTAAATGGTAGTATTTGCATGCTATTGGGAAAATGTTCCTCATCTTCCTCTGTCCGCATGTCACAGTGGAGGACATGGAGCGCAATGATGGATCAACAGAGAGGCCATATTTCATGTCGCAGAACCTGCTCACCATCCTGAAGAAGTCCAACGAAGAGTACAAGACTGTAGATTAAGTCACAGCTGTGTGTGTGTGTGTGTGTGTGTGTGTGGTGTCTGACTGAAAAGACGAATGATAGGAGGAAGTGCCATTTTCTGTGCTACATAAAGGTACAGACGTTTTGCTGTCAAATGAGATTGATTTTTTAATTCTGTAAATTTCTGTTCCTTTGTTGTTCTTGCGAAGCTTTGAACCCATTGTCTCCTTGTACCTGAGAAACAATTGTGATTTTATCACAGAAGGAATTTGGGAGTTTGCGTTTCAGATGATAACTGTCAAAATAAGTTTGCCTATAAAAAGGTTTCGGTATTTTTTGTTTCTTTTTGTGTGTGTATTCTAGATTATATATGTTTCAGTGACGTCTCCAGTTTGTTGCTGATTCAACCTGCTGATGCCAGAGTAAAGTTTTGCTTTATCAGTTTTACTAAGCATATTGCACTGTACAAAATTAACTCACCAAGGCACAGTTGCTAAACAGCCGGCAATTTAAATCTTAGTATCATGCCGAAAGAGATTATAGATGACGCAAGGTGATTTATAGTTCTTATTTTTAAAGCTTGTGTTCTATTTTGTTCATTATCTCCACTGAACATAAACATATCCATGGTTATCATGCAAATGTTACAATGATAAATGTTTTGCACTGCCTCTCGTATTGTTGTCATCTAATAAAAGTCTGTGTTGCCATGCCAGTGTTCAAAGAAAAGGAGTTCATTGCTTCTAAGTTAAAACTCACAGTATAATAAGTCATGCAGTTTGATTTGAACATCATGCCTAACCCTAACCCTGGGAGAAATCATTTGATAATACTGGAAAATAACATTGGAATAGAATTTAAAAAAGAAAAGGTTGTGTGCATGAAGTAGAGTTTGAAATATAAGAGCATTTAGAACACTTTATGCCTCCGCTCCAGGGACAGCCAGTGGCCAGAGGCATTTTATTAAATTCCTACTTCTGGTCAGGCCTTTATGTTTTTATATTGTTAGTATGAATATAATATTTTACAGTGAAGTAGCATGCCTGGTTTGACATTAAATTATATGATATAAAAAGTTTAGTGCTGAGATTAAATTATAAAAAAAAGTATAAACATAGTCCTACGATAATGTTTTCTATTTATCACACACAGTAAAAACATAGTCAGTGAATGAAAAGTGATTAAAGCCAGTGTGGGGACAGTAAATGAGATTACTGTCCCCAATGGCTCCACTTTCCAACGCTGAGCCTCTCTTGTGTGTTGACAGGTTGCTAGGCAACACTGTGTCCAGGTCAGGCTAACGCTGGACATGCTGGTGAAGTGAGGGAATGAGCAGCAAGAGACATCATGTCTTTCAGCGGGGACACTCTGAAACCTCCGCTGCATGAGCAGATAGCGGAGATGCAGCGTAAAATACAACTGCTGGGTGAGTTTGTGTTTCTAAGTCTGAGCGTCGATCTTAGCTGATGCTAAAGCGCGTGCCAGCTAGCAGCCGTGGTTAGCTTGATTCAGCCATATGATGAACACGTGACTGTGTGGGGAGCCACTGTAAACATGTAGCTAAACCAGAGAGACTGAGATCAGAGCTGGAAATGAATAACAATGAGAAGTCCATGTCTGTGTGCTGCTGGAGTAATGACTCACTGTGTCCACCAGAGCGCGACAGAAGCGCTTTCTATGAGAGCTCTCAGTCCAGCATGAAGGAGAACTCGGAGAACATCCGGGTGCTGAGGCAGGACAACAAGAGGCTGTACAGGAAGCTGGCAGAAGTTCACACAGTGAGTGGACTGACTCAGGTTCATCTGTCAGCGCTGATTTATCTGCGTTGTCCTCTTTGATCACAATCAAAACCCCATAAAGATGATAACACTTCGGTGGTTTACTTCCTGCAGGGAGATGATCATGTCATTAAAGAGGCCTTTCACAACAGAGGCATGGAGAAGAGCGCCTACCGCAACATGTCAGGCAAGGTGAGAGGAAGCCCGGGGTGCTCACACATCCTGCCAAACCTGTTACAGCCATTGGAAGTGTGTGGATTGTGTTTCATCCCCTTCTGTAAGTCGCCCTAGTGAACCTCAGTGTGTGTTTTATTTGAGATGAAGCTCACTGTCGGTCAGAAGCTGTGCAGAATGAAAGCTATGCTCTCTCCTACTGAGAGTGCATACAATATTATAACAAAGCTTGAAATAACTTGCCCCTTACAGTTTACCTTATATTGTGATTTCCTTCATTTTGAAAATGTTATAGAGTTTATAGAAGTCCTTTTTTGTCCAAGTTTGAAGTTCAGGGACAGTGCGCTGCAGTGTTTTTAGAGCACCTGCCACATTCAAGTATTCAAGAAATTCAAGTAACACAAAAATGTTTAGAATTCATCAAAAGAGGTCATGGTCAAGACGTCATTGTACACTCAATCATGAACCCTGCGTCATTGTAGAAGAATAGAAAGAAGAATAGAAATGGGGTGAAATGTGTCAGTATTGGGCCCACCATTACATTTTAGCTTTGTTCCAACACAATTTAAAATCCATTATATCCTCAGACAAGATCTCTCTTCCTCTCCCTGTCTGTTTTCCTGCCTCTGTCTGCTCACTAACACTTTTCTCTTTACTGCCTCTCCTCAGGCCGCTGTGACAACAGTAGATCAGAGGGTGTTAACTAAGAAGAAGCGTCTCAATGCCCTCAAACACACCACCCAGACCTACCAGCAGCGCCTTGAAGAGCTGAGGGTGGATCACCAGAGACTGAAACCTGAGGGCAGCCGTGGAGCTCAGTCCTCTGACGCTCGCACCCGGAAGAAAGAGGAAGATGCCATGGTACCTAGCCCTCAATCTCATGTGGAGATTCTTATTCTAATATTATTTCTTCCTGGTGACAGATGAGTCCAATCAGAGATAATTAAAAATGTTGTGTGTGTGTGTGTCTTCAGAACCTGCGGGCACTCGAGAACAGTCTGGAGAAGACAAAGTTTAAGTGCAAGGAGGCTGAGAACATCACGACTAACTATCTGAAACTCAAAGGTCACCTGCAGGTTTGCCAAACATTCACATTTTGAGCTTTAAAATAATGTTTTGCACCTCAAACTCACACTTACCTGCTGGAAATGTTGCTGTAGTTTTGTTGACACCACTTTGTGGCTCAGGAGGGAGATATGGTTGTACACTAATCAGAAGGCCGGCACCTCCACTCTGCACTCTAAAGTGTGCTTGGGTGAGATAATGAACCCCAAATTGCCCCTTGATCACAAAGTCAACAGTGTCAGAGGCACTGTGTATAGAATCACTTTATGAATGTGTGCGTGAATGCAACTTGTAACACTTTGATTAGTTGGACTGGAAAAGTGTTGTACAAAATACAAACCATTTACCAGTGTTTTCCCCAGTGATTTGTGTCTGTTACCTATTGGAGAGATTATTTTGCAGTTTATGAAGCCATTTTAACTGTAGGCACAATATGTTAATTGTACAAATATGGTAACAGTGCATTAACTGTCAGAGGATGAGAGTGACAGTGTTTACCACACAGTCTGCTAATGAACTCATTCAGGTATTATTCACAGAAGCAGGGGTTGCTTGGTGTTGTGCTGCAGTGCTCTGCACGGTAATGGCCTGTGCTATGTGTCTGTGATATCGTGAGAGAAGTGAGACTTTCACAGTGGAACAGTGCGTCTTGGCCCAAACTCACTTTACAGAAACTTGTTTCTTGGATACTTTCACTCCTGCTCCATATTCACACTTCAATGTCTCATGTGCATTTTCAATTTTAACCATGTGGCTTTCAGTTTAATATGTATATAGATAAGGCTTTATTTCCTAGATCATGTAACAATAAGCCAGTAATGGAGCAAACTGGAGCATTTGACTTTCCTCATATAATGGCCTCCTCTCGTTCCCTTTTCGCATATTCCCTGTCTAAATGTTCTGTCCCTCACCTCTGTCCCCACTCTCACCAACTCAGGATGAGAGTCTGACTTTCCAGGGCCAGCTGGACAGTCTGGAGGCAGAAATCCTGAAGCACAGGAAGGAGCTTCACAGCCTGCAGGTCATGAACAACGACACCCAGCTCTCTAAAGAAGCTGCTAAGGTGACCTGTGACCCCCTCACAGAGGGACCACTCCCTCACCACTACTGTCATAACACATAACACATGAAGTTATATGAGTGTGGTTGCTACAAGGGCTTTTTCAGTTTTTATTGCCTCCACCAAGGAGGAGGCTTTCATTGCTGTTGGTTTGCGAGGCAGCAGGATTATTGACTTACTCAAAATCGGACGGAAATTTTGTTGAGGGATGGGATGTGACCCCATAAAGAAATTTGGAGTAGATCCGGATGAATATCCTCTCTTTAACATGGCGAGATAGGGCGTATAGGTGTGTGCTCTCCAAGCACCCTTCCGTTCACCTGTGACCTTTTTATTTTGTTCAAAACAACTTAAGACTTCTCACATGTAGTTCACATCACTACACATTCTGCAAACCCCGAAACGACGACTTCTCTGTCTCCTCCTTTCTTCACTGTCAGTGCACAGCTCAAGCTCATGGTGGGTGAAGGTGCAGTGTTTGTTCACGCAGCCTCCTACAGCCTCATCACTAATGCACTGCTGTCCCAACGTGTTTGTTTCCTTTTCTCCTTCCCTTCCTTTTCTGTGCTAGGCTGAGTTACAGCAGCTGGAGGAACTGCTCTACAAGGAGCGCAAAGAGAGAGAGTGTATTATCGCCGGCTACAGGAAAAAAGTTGAGGAGCGCAAAGCCCAGGCTGAAAAAGTTGATAGAAGGGTAAGATACACACGGTGGAACATACTGTACAGAAATATTATTCTAGTGTCTGCTTTTATTTAGATTTTGTTCCCTTCTTCCCTCTTTTGATCAAAGACTTTATCACTGACCATGTAATTAAACATGTAACACTCTATCTCTGCTAAAAAATATGATTTGCTTCATAACAGAGACATTGTTGTTGGTGAAGATGAGTAATTTACATTTACACTGGTGGTAAACTTTGCTCCCTGCACACCCAGAGAACAACTATGCAGCCAGATGAACTGAGCAGTGAGGCCCCGCGCAGCACCACCAGGATGGCAGGTGATGAAGAGGAGAAGGTCATGTCCACTTTTGAGGAGGCCTTCCAACGCATCAAGGAGGCCACTGGAGTCACAGACATACGGGTGTGGACGTGAACAGAAAAAGAATCGTTATTTCTGCTGTGCAATAATTCATAACTTCATACTGGTTTTCTCTGTGTGTAGGAGATAGTGGAGCGCTTTACCTCGCAAAAGGAGACACAGCAACATCTGGAGAACCTGATGGGAGAGAATAAGAAAGTCCTGCAGCAGCTGAAGGAGCAAACGGAGCTGCTGAACCAACAGTTTCAGGATATGAAATATTCGGGAGAGGCTAAACTCTCCGGGTGAGACAACGAAACAGTGATAGAGGAGACAAAGGTGTTAGTGTATGTGGCTGTGTGATGCATAATGTCTCCATCTGCTGCTTTTATAGTGACCAACAGATGCTGGAGGAGTGCGAGCAGCGGCTGCAGGCTCAGCAGCAGAGGTGCCGGGCAGCTAAAGAGAGACTGGATTGGCTTGTTAAAACGCTCAGCACCATTCGAGCCGGAGTGGAGCACCTGACAGACAAACTTCAACACATCACACTGGTGAATATGATCTTAATAAAACATGAGGGCACAGAGAGACTTTCAGGGATGTGCTCTCTTTTCTCTTTAACACTGGAAAGATGAGCTGTCCTGTCACGGTCACACATACACAGATGTGTCGGTGGAGAACCTTCGCCTCTCGTTCATTTGCTTCCTGTAGCGAGGCAAATCACAGCATGGAGTTCAGCTGTGGTGAACCTCAACCCGTGATGTTCGCTTTGCTGTCATGTGTGACCATGCCCACACAGAGAAAAAAGGAAATGACTACATTCATTTCTTGACTAGACTTCTCCCCCTGGGTTGTGCCTTGACGTTTCAGATCCAGGATCCCGGCTTCAGCCGCATTCTGGATTGTTGAGGCAGCTGCTTATGTGATAATTGCAACTAGCTTGTTGAGATATACGTTGTGTCTGTCCACATATTCTACTATTACTGACCATAGACCATACACACCTCTATCTTTACAACTGTCATTGATGTTCTGCCTTCCATGTCCTCTCTCTCTCTCTCCCTTCATCTCTATCAGACATTTCCCTTTGTATAAATGCTTGAAACATTTAGACACCTCTCCATTTGTCTTAGACACTTGATTTTCTCATAAATGTTATAAAAAAATGTGTGGGTGTTCTCTGTTACACTCAACGTCTATTGCACTTGTGGACATCCTGGGAGAGGGATCCCTCACTTGTGACTCTCTTTGAGGATTCTTGAATGTTTTCCCTGATAAAAGTGTTTTTTTTAATAGTTTTTTTTCACTCTAGTCAAGAGTTTAAGACAAAGGATATTACACCTTGGACAGATTGTTCTGCCCTCTGAAGAATTTGGATGTATTGATTTCCCATATGTTGACGTTATGATACGTGTGATTTTACGTATTTTCTCTTTCCGGTGACAATCAAACTTATGTTGGTTCTTTCGTTTCTCTCCAGGGCGAGGACCAAGTGGCGGAGGTGTCCCCAGACTCGGATGAGTATGTGTTGTTGCTGATGACCCAGTGCGATCGGAAGCTGATGGTACTCCAGGACGAACTCCAAGGAAAAGATCTCGCTGGTATTATGAAGGAGATGGAGGAAGAGGAGGTGAGACAACAAACTGTCAGGCTGTTTAATGTCCAGCTTCTCAGAGTGGTTGGTTCACTTTTCACAGGTAGTTGTTGAAAACACAGATTCAATAACAGGTGTGCAGGAAATACACGGGCAGGTCCACAGATGAATCACACTGAACATACTGTTCTCATTAACACACACTGTTGGCACACATAACACATAGCGCTGAACTGAAAGCCCATGTGATCAACATGTCACCTGTCACTAATACATGGCTTTACAACCAATGATACTGAAACCTTTGAGAATGCTAGTTGGTGTAAAACATTTATTTCGAAAAGGACCTGATGTTAGAGGGAGGGGTTCTCTGGGAGGACGTTGAAAAGAATGATTAAATTAATAAACGTCTAAATATTGTCTGTTATGGGAATGTTGGTTCTCTAAGGTCTGAATGTGACGGCAGGAGGCTGTTTAATCAATTCCTCAGTCAGCTCCATCACACCTATGTCAAACTGCTGCTACTATAACTACAGCAGCTTGGAGGATCTTCATCTCCTGGTGGACAAGTGACAAATTTTGAAAAACTGGATTAAGTCAAATCTGGGTTATTTTTAAATGGTTTATTCATCCAGCCTTTTCTGTCTCTTAATGAAGTAGAGATTTATTTTGACCAATTAAATAATTAAAATGACGCTCAGAGCAAATAGCTTCACCAAAGCCTAACAGTCAAAATTCAAACGGCCCCAGGTTGCACACACTTATAGGTGTTAGTCCCCTAAATGTTCCTGGTGTTAAAGAAAATGGAAAAGATGTTGTTGTATTTAAAAAGCTAGTGACCCTAAAGAAAGCCCGCGCAGTGCGACATATGAACACAGCATGGCTGAGCATGTATGCAGACATGCTGCTGTTCTTTCACATCTTATCTGAATGGAAAGGCAACCTGAAGTGTTTGTTCTTGATTGCTAACACTCGGCAGCACCTTCACTGTTTGAGAACAGGGGATATCAGCGTGTACCATAGGAAAACATGCAACAGTCCCCTGACATTGACTGTTTTAATCTCAGGTCCGTTTTTAAGAAGGTGTAATCTTTAGAACTGACGCAAACTCTGAGCTGATAATTTGAAAATCACTCCAGCTCTGTTTGCTTGACTGCTACTGTTGAGCTGCAGGTTTGAACGTTAGATCTAGAAAAGTTTGGCCCGTTGGTCGTCTTAGCTTTTACATGATGAGAACACAGTAACCAAAATCACACCAGCACTCATGCTAATACTGGTTGAATGCAATTAGGGCCATGTAAATTAACTTGCATTGATAACCGAGAGATAGATAATGATGAGATGAGAATATGATAAATCTGAAATTAAGTCCTTAAAGGTCTAAAGATAAATCTATTTGCAAAAAAAATGAATTTTTGCACTATGTGTTGCTCTGAGCAGTTCCACGTCAGGATTGAGGGGAAACTACCAGATTACAACACGCGAGTCAAGCTCCCTGAGGACCAAATACTGGACCTCTTCAATGACGGTGAGTCAAGAACCATAGACAAACACACACACACACACTCACACACACGCGTACACACCCACACACACCCACACACACCCACACACACACACACACACACACACACACACACACACACACACACACACACACAGTGTCTAAACTTTCACTTTTTAAAAAACAGTCGCTGTTTGTGTCTCAGAGGAGGAGAGTGAAGAGGACGACACTGACATCATCTCACGTGAGGCGCTGAAGCGTCAGTCTCAGCTGATCATTGACGCCAAGTCCAAGAAGAAGCCCTGGAAGAAGAAGGGAAAGTTCTGATCCAACAGCACAACCTCGAGACTCAAGAAAAACAAAACCAAAAGAACATTGAAGTGAATTAAGAGCTAGAGTTGAGAAAATGTCCAATTACTATTTGAATCATTTAATGTTCCAGTCGTTTGTTGCAACAAAGATTCTTGCATTTCAAATAAATTTTGAAAACACAAATTTATTTTTAGACTTCTTTGAAAGATGAGCCCAATTTAACAGCTTTTAGACATTAGATTTTTATAGAATGAGCCATTGAAGCTGGCTACTTGCTGTAAAAGTGGATTTATTGTGACAACAGTAATGTTCTCTGTCAGGTGTCACTGTTGTACCAACACCATCACGCCACCTTTTTTCTTTTTTTTTCAAGGCTCAGATTTCCACCCTGCAGCCTCACAGAAGTAAAACCAATCACAGTACGCTTCCACTTATTTTGAATAACTCCTGTTTTAGGTGACCTGTGCCAAAAGGTTTTCTCTCTTATTGTCTTGATTGAAACCTTCCCATTGTGAGCTTAGGTTTTATTTTCATACATGATGCCCCGTGGTCCTCAGTGTGCAGAAAACCAACACCTGTGACGAATGCAGCCTTTGTTCATGGGTGAATCACTGCAAAACTAAAGACGCTCGTGCTTTGTTTTGTTGCAAGACATGACACAAAGCTGCTGAACTCTCCTGTGTGTGTGACGCACACGTGCAGCGTCAACACCTGAACTATGTCTGCCATGTCAGGAATGGGTTCTGCCTCTCTGCACCAATGCTCTGTGGTTGTTAAGATGATCGTCCTGTTCTGAGACTGAGCTACTGGCATAACATATCGTCATACCTGCAGATTAGAGATTAAGCACTGTGGTGTTCTCTCTCCCTCTAATTGTGACATCACACAGATTGTATTGTCAGGAGCAGCTGTGGGTGTAGCTTCATAAGCAGCTGGATTCAGGTCAGATTCCTAAATGGATTTTTCCATGTGATACACAGTTGGGTCTTTACTTTCCACTTCACCATCTACATTTAACACGTTTAACCTTTAAAAGGTCCAGGTTCATAGTAACCACCTGGATATGACCTATATGAGGTTTTGAGTATCATCAAGGACAGAGATTTGTGATTTGTGTTTACGATATGGCCTTGATTTACACTTCAGCTGTCGAAGCCAATAGAAGTTTCGATTTGAGAACTTCATATCAGACTGGTCTCAAGCCAGCTTTCTGCAATTATTCAATCAGTGGTTAACCATTGACTTGGTATGATACACACACACTCTGATGCTGACCCCCCTGAACTATTGAACTGTCTTTGTCATGTGTATTTTTAACCCAAATTATCACACCATGTGCTCTAATTTGTAGCCACAGACATATTTTCTGTCACGCTTGAGACGAAAGACGATGCAAATGCAGAGACAGAATCAGGCTCAAAGTCTTGTTCTTTGATATAAAAAGTACAATTACACACATTACATAACATACACTGAGCACAAAGGTAACAAAACTGAGGCAGAGACACATGAGGAGGGGTGAAGATTAAACAGAATACAAATCTTTGCACTTCTTTTCCTTTTCCAGGCTCAGGTGAAAAATGTCTTTATTTGCAGACAAAGTATGAGGCTAAGATACTTAAAACAAAATGGGGTCCAAAGAAATCAAGACCAAAATAATCAATATCTGCAGAAATGTGAGGGGAACTAAAAGCACAGGCACACAGCAGACATGGAAGGAGAGAAACAGGATGAACAAGACAAAGACAAAAGGAAGCACAGAGACTTACACAGAAGGAGACAGGGATGATTGAACACAAAAACACAGTAGGAATAGGAACAGATGAGAAAACAGGACAAAGGGAAGAAATGGAGTATAATTTGTAAATAAAACAGGAAAGAGAGAACTCAGGGACAACAACTAAACACAAGGAAACCAAGGTAAAAGTATGAATCTCAAAGCTGAGTGACAAATAGTGAAGGGTTTTAGCTGAAGCGTGTGCAAAATGTCAGAAGGAAGCATGTTTGTCTCTGTAGAAGGAACTGATTTTCAGATTCCAAGGTGCGACTCTGTAACTGTTTCAATGTTTGCTCTCTTCCTGGTAGAGATGATGAGATCGTTATAATCAACATCTCTGGCTCCAGTGAAGAACATGAGTTTAGTTTTGTCGGCACTGAGAACTACAGCTTATAATTATTAAGTGCAACTTGTAAATCAGAGAGGCAGTGTCGAAGGGATTTGACACAGCATGTGCAGTACCCGCAGCACAGAACAAAATACTGTCATCAGCATTCAAATATTGAATACATTAACATCACTGCTCACCAAGAGAGTGAATGTTTTCACCTCTGTCCTTTAGTTTGGTGGTTTGTTTATTCATAAGCAATATTGTGCAAAAACTACTGGACGTTTTTCCAGGAACACTTGGTGGAAGGATGTGTCATGAGTCAGGGAAGAACCAAATTCAAATTTGGAGCAGATCCAGGAATGCTGTTTCTTTTTTCATTGATTTCTCAGAGAATAATTCATGGATCTAGATTCAAATTAAATCAGACATGTTTAGGGGACTGATATGAGTGTTTGCAATTTTGTGCAGATCAACAAAAAAATCCAGATCCAGTGTAAAATGTTAAGTATTTCACAAGGAGACTGTTTACTGGTATTTTAGTGTTAATTAAAGAACCTCCATAATGGCAGACACTGTCTGACCTACATACACACTGGTGCCTATACATTGAAGTAAACAAACGTGTAATTGGTGTTTTTTTTAAGCTCATCGACCAATCAGAGAGAGGGGGCGGAGCTGCGCTTCCTGGTGCTGAGTTTGAATGAGAGCCAGCAGCGTGACTGCGTGTTTGTCATCTGCGGCCAACAGTGAGTCAGTCCAACGTGTCTGTGTGATCCCTGCGATCCCATCGTCCAACTGTCATGGCGTCATGCGATCAGCTGGTCAGGGGCTGTTCATCCCAACACATACCACAGGTAAGAAACATTTAGCACCAGCTGACCACCAACACACTGAGCATCAACCAGTCACTCACGTTCACATCAGTATGAAGTGTAACATGGATGATCCTGGGTGATCATGCTTTTAATCCACATGTGTTAGAGAATGAAGCAGCAGGTTGATTCTAATGAGGGGGGGGAGGAGGAGGAGGAGGAGGAGGAGGGCAGCCACCTGGAACAATGGAAGTTCAATACAACAGAGATGAGATAATTGTCTATGCCTGAGTACTTCTAATCAACGAGGACATTCCAACACACATGCATTCACGCGCACACACTGCCCTGCGCTGCGTTAACACACATGCCCACAGAGGAGCATCATCATCATCATCATCATCATCCACCCACAAACTAAGCACAGGCAGCTCTCAGTGTTAAATGTTTCAGACTCGATCCTTCAGTTTCACTTTAGTCTCTGCATCAATAACTGTGTAGTGTTGTGGACGAATCCAGCTCTGACTGTGCTCTTCATCAGGATTCAACATTCAACTGAGGAACCATTACAGTTAAGTGACTGTTCTATGTGCTTTCTGACTTTGTACAAAGTGTAGTTTCCATAGTAAAATATACAGATATATAGTTCTATTTTTATTATTTTTATTGTGTTTAATTTGCTGTGCTGCTGTGATATAAGAATTATCCTCCTCAATAAAGGGTTATCTTATTATTCTCAGGATTGATTTGAAAGTAGTGGTTCTCTAAAGACTTATGTGCTTCGTATAGCTAATTGGATAATATGGAATATACTGTATTATAAGAAATATTTTTTAATCACTTTCTGGTCATGTTCTATATATATATATAGTATGTATGTATATCAGCTCAAGAGACAAGTTGTCAATTCATGACAGATTTGGTCTTTATGTTGATTGTATGTTTAGCTTTACTTGACCTTTTCTTTATGAAGGGTCACTGTATTAAAATCACTTAACTCATTGTGGGTTGCTGCTGCTGCTGCCGTTAATAAATTTAATTAGTCTGAGGCATTAACCTTATTTCTGTGCTAGAATGGTAAATGTGATCATGAGATTTCAATTCTTATTGAACGACCACTGACCCTGTTTTTAGAGCTGGTATTTTGTCTCATGGACTTCACACGGCTGAAAACAGGAGATTTTGACTAGTGTGATGTTTGAGAGGATTGCAGTAAAATGATGGTATGAGGAAACTGTACTCACGCTCTCCTCCCTGGCACAGATGAGACGGCAGGTGTGGGAGAGATCTGACGAAGTGCGTGGGCCCGTGGTGTGACACAGAGCCGGGGAGATGAGGATCATTCTTCCGGTGTTTGGAGGCGGCGATGGAGGAGAGCCTCGCAGCCTCCGCAGCAAAATGGGGGGGATGAGCAGGATGAGGAAGCTGCTGTGGCTCAGGACGAATCCCTGCGTGGACGTGCACATGGACTCTGAGCCTGGTGTGTGGCTGAGGAGCTTCCAGTTGATAGACACTGATGCACAGTATGAGGTGAGTTATTATTTACTGCAACAGCTTCGACTGTCATTTTATTGTATTTACAGCTTAATCTCAATATTGTGACTAAGCTCAGGAGTCATGAAGTTTTTTTATAAATCCAAATATTGTGCATGGAAAAGAAGTCACTACACACAACTCCACTGTAAACACTCAAATGTGTTCTAACATATATAAGCTGCTTGTTGTGGGAACATGGATATATTGATATATCTTAGGTAATCACCACATTATGATTATATTATTGACTCTTATATGACATTAAACATCATAAGGACATTTGATTAGTACATTTTAAAACTTCAATTATGATTAACAGATTTATTTTCTCACTTAACTTAACATTTGGTCTATATTATTTGGGGGAAATAGTGAAAAATGAATATTGATATGGACAAACAATCCAAAACCCACACGATATTGTTCCTGTTTGATTTTCTGCTGATCGTCCATCAGTGAAGTCTCAGAATGTGGGTCTACAACCATGGGAAAGGAGACAAACGCCTTTTTAGTGGGTTTACCCACATTTAAAAAGGCAATTGACTCTTCTCCTATTGCCATTAGGGGATTTTCCTTTCTGTTTTTTTTGTCACCAGTGCCTCATGTTCGATGCCATCATTGTCGACCCGAGCTGATAAAAACCCTTGTTCACTGCAGAGTCATTTGACCTGGGAGTGAATGCTGATTGAATCCATTCACACTGCAGACAAAAGCCAAATGTGAGCAAGTGTTAGTGGGTTTTAGGCATGGTGGGTGTTCCACTACCTCTTAAATGAACTCTTACCACGTTCTGTGCAATTTACTAGTCATGAGGCTGATTTGACTGCTGATGCATCAGTATCACATCGATCTGTATCTGTGACAGAACAGCTGCGTCACATGTTCCGTGTCGGAGGAACTTCCACTATCGCTCCCACTCAGCTGAGCAGTTTTTTCACTCGAGATGTCATCGATAACAGCGACTGTTAAGTGACACCAGGAAGGAATCAGAACAGACTCTCCAGGAAATTTGCAGCGTTTATTGTATTTCCATGATTCAAAAAACCTTTTTGGCCATTTGATGTTTTGGGGTAATAACTCCAACCATCACGTATCGACATCATCTAAAATGACTAATCCACGGGGTTTAGTCCTGCTCTTGTTTGTGCCCTGCCTGCCACCACATCACCCATTCATGTGTCTAATCAGAAGTAATTGAGGTCTCTGCTGCATGGCACTCTCTCTCGGCTCTTTTGTTCAGCCTCCGAGAGACTGGGTGGTACGGGCATACGTGGGAGAGTGATGGTGGATGTTCAGTTCAGAGAGAGACAGAAACTCATTAGAGGAACAAAAAGCTCATTCTTCTCCTGGAGCTAACACGTCCCATCTGCTCTGCTTCTCAGTGTTACGATAATATTTAGCTTCTCGTCATTTAAACTCTGAGTCTGTTTGGGAAATGTGTTTTCATCTCTAGAATTGAATCATTTTCCCAGATTTCTGCTTTCTTGGAGTCAAAAGTTGAGCTGACTTATTTCGGAGCGCAGGCAGCAGACCTGTTTTGTGTGGTATGTGGTATGAGCAGGCACAAACGCCCATGAGGCAAAAACCGTCCCGACTGGATTTTTGTTCAAGGAAGAGGCACTGAAACAAATATTCCTCGCATGTGGATGTTGGCCTTAAGTCAGCTTCCAGTTGCACGAGTCTTTTCTTTGGTATCTAACATTTGATCTCTTCCTGTAAAATTACCGTTGGTGCTCTAATAGAGCTGAAAATAAACATCACCTGTTAGAATGTGGAGTTTGTATAAAGGTTGCCGAGCCTGTTCTTCATCCAGAGAGAGATGGATGAAGAAATGTCATCCATCTCTCTGAGAAATTCATTTCTAAGTTCATCTCCTTAAAATCTATATCATCTCTGCAATGTTTTAATATCATGAGAAAAGATACTGTTTATACAACTAGAAGAAGTTTTAGAGAGTGCATACCTCTGCCTCTTCATCACCATATTGTATATACACATATGGAGAACAGATACATCTGATTTATTATTCAGATCTGCACCAAATGTCACCTGTTCATAGATATCACCACTCCACAGATGGCTGATTTTTTTTTTCTTGAGGGATTCACAAAAAATGTGGAAAAACACATTATATTTATGTGAAAACATTACTGGATCCACCCTATTTTGAAAAGGTTGTTCCTTCATCTTTACCAGATCCTTCCACCAAGTTTCAATGATATGGTATATTTTGTGTAATCCTGCTTACTAACAAACAACAGAAAGGGCTCAGTCTTTACTTTTCTTTAAATAGTTATTTTCAATAAAATGTATCCATCTGTGTCTGTACCGCTTATCCTTTGAGGGTTGCGGAATCCCAGCTGACATTGTGAAAGAGGTGGGGTACACCCTGGACAGTTTGCCAGTGTATCAAAGGATCAGCATACAGAGACAAACAACCATTCATGCTCTCATTCACACCTACGAACAATTTAAAGTCTCCCATTAACCTCACCCCAACCTGCATGTGTGAGAGGAAGTTGGAGCACCCAGAGAAAATCCACACAGACATGGAGAGAACATGCAAACTCCACACAGACAAACTCCAGCTGAACCGGGATTCAAACAGAACCTTGCTGTGAGGGGACTGCGTTAACTACAGCACGTCTTCACTTTGTATTTCAGTCATTCACAACTTACAATGTCATAAAAAATATTATAACATGTATGTATGCATATATGTGTGTATGCATATGGACAAATAAGTATTTACCCGCATCCTGATTTCTTCTATTTTTGCTTATTTGTCACATTTAAACATTTCTAATTCATCCAATCAATATAATTTTAATACAAGATTTAATACAAGGTAAAGGCAACATGAGTCAAAACAAAATGGAGCTTTTAAATCTTTATTCCTTGTATCGAAGGTAAAGATTAATGTAAAACAGTAACTGGTTGTGCCAACCTTGGGGGCAACAACTGCAGTTATATATTTGTGAGTACTTTTACTTCACTGTGGGGGAATTCAGTCCCATTGATCTTCTAGCATGAACATCCAGTTTATGGTCTTGTCACAGCGTCTCAATTCCGTCAACTCCAAAAGCTTAATTGTATCTCTTTTAAGCCATCAGATTGCTCAGTGCTTCCCATCATCCTCCTACTTACCCCACTCTGCTAGAGCTTGAGGTCACACTTTGATGGACGGACATTCTTTTTTTTCACAAGAGCTGAATTAATGGTTCCATCAATGATGACAAGTCGTGGACCATCACACTACCACTACTATATTTGACTGCTGGCAGGGACAGACTGGGATAAAAGATACTGCCCTCGACTTTCTCCCCCAGACAAACATCAGTACCCCTCCCTCCATTATCTGGCACTGAGAGATGTGATCATATCCTCATGTTGGAGGAGGGAGGTGAAGATGAAGACGTGGGCGGCATTGATGATGAGCAAGCTACAAAGTAGTCACACGTGTCTACTCAATGTGCAGACACTCACAGTAAAGTGTAGACAGCAGCACTATACACAGCACAATGAACTTGGAAACAAAATTACAGATTTCAGAATGTCAACTAAGCGAGATGAGGTCTGACCTCATCATGTTTATCTTGTCTGAGTTGTGTCCTCACCCTGGGTCTCCCTAGCGATGTTGTTGACCTTGCTGCTGCAGCTGCTGGATGTGCTGGCATGAAAGATGTAATTCACCTTCATATATGTTGCAGCATCAGCTTGACGTGATCACTTCAAGGTGACCATAATTACTTGAAAGGCAGAACTTTTTACAGCTTTTACTGAAGCACCACAATTCAGATTTGCTTTCACAGGACATCACACAGAATGAGAAGCACTACATGACAGCACGTAGAGGTGTGGTAGTGCTGCCACAGTTATGATCGATAACTGTTACATCAATTAATGTTATTGATTATTAAGTTAACATAGACTTTTAAGTTTGGAAAACCTGATCGAATATAGTAACCTTTGTCTAGTTTATAAGATATTACACAACACTGCTCCACCTCCACTGAAGACGTTTGTTGTGCAAAGAGCAGGCACTCAGGTTACCATGCAGAGGAATCACGAGAGTATCCTTCCCGCTGGAAGAAGTGCTTTTAGTCTAGTGACTGCATCTAAAGAATTGAATATGTTGCCATTGAAAATAAGAGAAGTAAATACTTATCGTTATTTTAGTGGTCGGCTGAAGAAATGGCTTACTGATGATCAGCCATGTGCGACAGTCTACTACTGACTTTCTACTGGCTGCAGTTTGTCTTTGTTAGTTTTTTAAAATGAGCCACATGCGAACACTGCTCCAGAGGAACTGATCTGAGGACATTTAGGTTTAAAACATGTTGGGGCTGGGGTTTATTCTGTTGTTTTTTTACAAGTGGTCACCATTTACTATTTGATTTGGCTGCAATGCTATTTACCCCTGAAACTCTGAAAGAGTTTTGTGGACTCAGACACTTCACCCACCCCTCCATCTGCACAGTGGTGGGTAGATAATAAGTTGTTTTTTTATTTTGGGGTGAACTATGAGCATAGTCACTGTCAGATAAATAGAGAAATGAAATGAAATCAATTGAAACAGTTGAATAATCTTATCAGCAGTGACATTACCAATTATTTTCCAGTTATACCCTCTGTATCTATATTACCTATGCATAATTAAAAGGATAATTCCCATTGGCTCATACTGTTATCCCCGCCCACACCTGGCTGGTCTTCCCCGCCCCGCCACATACCGCCTCCCCTCCCTCGTCAGCTCGTCCAGCTGCCGGACACGAGTCCAGACAGGAGGAGCGAGGGACGGAGGAGTGTGTGGGGAGGTGTGAGGGATGGAGGAGTGTGCGGTGAGGTGTGTGAGGACGGAGCCCACCTCCTGACCACGGTCTGCCCTGCACATCTGTCCGTGTCACACAGCTGCGGGACCGCACACACGTCGCTCACGAGCTAAACATGGGGAAATGGCACTTATCTATGGTAGGCTTCTTTATATTCTCCTTTATGCGGCTCTGTCCTCAACCAGAAACCTCGTCACAAGAGGTTAACGTCTGTTTTATTTCCCAGTTCCAGTCTCTGAACATTATGATGGTGTGATACAGTCAGCCCACTTGTTCGAGGCTGGAGTTTCTGTCATGTGATTTCAGGTGTTTTCACACAGGCTCATTCTTTTGTTAGATCTGGGTCAAAGAACACTTGTCTGTACGGTCGCATTGTTACCTATGGCAGTCCAGCGCTAGAGCCTCATTCCTGGGCTGTGACTACTTGCTGGATGTGCGGTGTGCAGCTATTATGACCAGCAGCGTGTTGCATTTTGACAACAACTCGTGTTTCTCTGGCTCCCGGGACATTCACTGACACTGTCCATGTATTATTATTATTAGTCTCACCTTGATTGAAACTTCCTGCAGCCTGATCCAACAGTGCTACAATAAATCCTACCCCATGATGGTTAGAATTTAAAGTTTTGATTCAAATATTTGTATAAGTTATTTAGCCTACTGATATGAATGTACAAAATAAAACACACCATTCAAGACTTACATTTAAATGTTACTCATTTCTTATATAATTTATTCTGTTTTATTGTCACTTGTCTCTTTAATCTTAGTAACTTCTGCAGATGCACAGTACAGGCTTAACTTGTTAATAATAATCATAATAATTTTATATTTTTATATTAAAAAATTGTCCTCTTCAGTTAGATGTCCTGCAGGATTTGCATTTATTCTCTTGTGTCTTGTGTGTATCGTCCAATCACTTGTCACGTGGTGTTTCGGTATGAATCAATCTCGCAGTTCTTGGCCATAACTGAATATAAGTGCTCATAATCAATTGAATGAATATGAAAGAAACAACTGGAGGTATTTGTTTCTCATTGTTTGCTGCTAAATAATAAGTGAAAAATGATCAATATGAATATGACTGTAAGATATGAAATACTAAAGATTATGTTTTGAAAATGGCAGGGGTGTGGTCCATTAATGGACAATTTTTTTTGTTATAGTTGTTTACAAAATTTCAGTTGTTCGACAAATCATCATCTACAGAGACATGCAATGACACGATCAGTGTGTCAGCTCGACAGAGCTGGTAAACCAACCAGATGTGCCTGCCGGTTTCTAGTTGTTAGACCAGCTTGTAACAACAAAGCTCAGATTTGGCCTAAATAAAGATTCACTGTAAACAGCAGCATCAGGCTTCAGTGTTGTATCAGAGTTTTCCCACGTACATTTATGCTTCCCCTTATGAACCCAACTCCCTGAAGGCAGCTAAAACATACACACACCACTGTGGTACTGTAGTGATGATTGTTAAGTGAAAGCAGTTGCTGTTGTAGAGCCGAAGCTCTAATAAACATCGTGACGTTATAGTTTTCCAAAAGGATGAATGCTACATGGTAAACTGTGATACATTTCCAGATGATTAACCATTTCAAAAATTCTGTGGTGATTTGGTTGTTTTTTCCCAGCATCAACAATGGTTCAGAAAACACTGCTGATTCAACCTGTTTATTTCCTCCTTCTGTTGGGTTTCCCGTGTAACTATGTGACATCATTGTCTGTGCTTGTCTGAAGTTCAGGAAGTGGTAGAACACTAGTCTTTAGTCAGTCAGGGGAACTGAAAACACAGATTTTTAATTTACTGTTTACCATCTAATAATATTTTCCAGAGGTAGGAAAAACATGATCAGATCTACCAAAGACACTAACACATAGAGGGGACATGTATTGCTGTACAAAGATGGAAGTGAATTAAGATTTTTTTAAAACTGGATCATGGTTCAATAAATTCTCCCTGTGTTTGATCACATAAACACATAAAGCAGTGAATGACTCTTTGTCAACTCATGGGTCCAGGTGACACGTCTACGTCAGAAACTGGGCCACAAGCAGAAGCTGAGAATGACGTTAATTGATGCTGAGTTTAACCCTTTTAAAATGAAATTTCTCATTTTGAAAGCTTATTGCATTTGTCATGAGGTCTTTGTTGCTGATATTCAAGATTGTGGCAGTAATTCAGTTAAGTAGATAATGTTCAGGGAGCTCTGTGGCTGTTTACAAAGATATAGTTGTAGTTATTAAGTACAGGGAAGAAACATACTGAGTTTAGCCTTCGCATATCTGCACAAAAGTACACTTCTACAGGTTTCCCCTATAAAGTTCAGTGACATTCTGTTTTTCCTTTAAGTATTTGTGACAAGCTCTTAAGTGTGTGATGTAGTCGTCTGTTTTACTTACATTATCATAAAAAAAAGAGAAGAAAATAGGCAATATCAAGTATTTGCATGTGACGTTTGCCAGATCTTGATGACCTTGCATTCTCCCCTGCAGGACCCGGTGCAGGAGTGGGGGGAGGAGGAGGAGGACGGGGCCTTGTTTGGCATCACGCTCCGCAGGGAGCCCGTCCTGCCGAATTCCGACACGGGGGAGCTGGCCACGGCTTTCGCCCAGTATCACACGGTGAAGGTGCGACGGCTGAAGGCCGCCACCCTGGAGCGTCTGGTTACCCACCTGCTGGACCCTGACAACCAGGAGCCCGACTTCACCCGTGTCTTCCTCTCCACCTACAGGGCCTTCACCTCCACCAGCACCCTCATCGAGCTGCTGTTTCAGAGGTGAGAAACTGTCCACACGGAGGCGCTATACAGAAAAAAAACCACGTGGGAGCAGTCAGCTGCTCAGAAAGCCCACACATTACGCCATTGTTTACATTTGACTCTGACAGATCTGCTTAGTTTATCTCAAATGAGAAGAGAGAGAAACATTACTAACCCTAATATTCATTCTATAAGCCAAATATGTTAGCTTAACTTGGAAACACTGGATGCAACACTGCATGAACACTGGAAACAGGGAAACTGATATCCTGGCTCTTTAATAACATGACAAAATCCACTTATAAACACATTATAGGTGTAAGTAAGGAACAAAGAATTAAGTTTTATGGAGGATTTTAGTATCTTCAAACAGAACCAGCTAACTGTTACCAGAAGTTTAGTCTTTATTCTTAGTCAAGCTAACCAGTTTGTGGTATAGCTACATATTTATTGTACAAACGAGTGGTGTCAGATTTCTTGTCTATATCTTGATAAAACAGCAAAAAAGTGAAGTTAAGTTTTTTTTACAGTTTGTGCTCAGGAAAATCTTTACAGAAGGCTTACCCATATGAAATTATGATAAATATTAAAAAGGAAAAAGGTAATAAAACAGTAAAATTGTTTTTACAATTTGACTGATTTAAATTAAGTACTTGAGATTGTAATCTGGTCTATTTCCAATCCACTAACATGGAGGAGATACAAAATAAAAAAAATAATCAAATGGTCTGATGATGCGAAGCTTGGCAAAACTGAAAATCACAAAAGTAGAAACCTTTGTAAATAATATATTTTTTTAATCTTTATATTAATCTGTCTCAAGAACATGAAGGACTCACCAGAAACACAGACGACACAACAAGGAATTCATAGAAAAAATTACAAGAATCATCACAGCATGTTCTCAGTCTGCGTTCTCTGCCACAGACATGCCTGCTCTGGTGTGTGTTACTGTTTTAACAAGGTTCAGACATAAGTAGAGCACATATATGCAAAACCAAGTTCTACATGCCACATGGACACATCAATCCCCAAAGACAGAAATGTAACACCCTCCTTTACGTTGCCTCGGCTGTTCTCAAAGTGAGTCTCTATTGGCGCTCTGCAAGTCTGACAGGTATTATTGTCATGAGCTAAACAAAGCACCCTGGGAGATTTGTTCCATTCCTCAGTGGCCATGGATACGCCCACCACACCCTGCAGAGAAGTTTTTAAATCTCTGTCATTAAAGATTTGATTTTATTGAGAACTTACCTGCAGGAATGTCCCGTCTGAAACTAATACATGTTGGAGTTAGACATATTAAGACTCCTCTGTCATTAATCCAGCTGTGGAGTTTATTTCCCACAGAACTCAGTTCTTTGTCAGTTCTTTAAAGCTCATCTTTGCTCATTGTGCTGCTAATTGCTTCTCATTTGAAACTGTCCATCTGTTCTGTAGAGTTGTTGTATTATGTGTGAAACAGTCGCCCTCATATCTGTGGTGCTGGTGACATCAGGTTTCCTGTGAGGTCAGCCTCAGCACAACTTGGGAAGTGTGTTTTTCATCCTTTGACTTGCAGGATTTTGTACAGGAAACCTTTTTTGAAACCACCTGTACTGTAACTTGATAGGTGCTATTTAATTAAATTCAAACACGCTCAATTATTTGCTCCGATTGTGCACATTGCAAAAAGACAGACAAGTGAAAAGAATATTTGGTCTGTACGTGAACATGTTGCAGAGGAGAATATTTAGTCACCCATCTTTAGGTTTTACACACTGGTCTGTGGATGCAGTGCTCCCCGTGTGTGCACCCAATGAACCCGATTAGCTTTCAAAGTGTTTTCTCTGAACCCGTCCCGGCATGTCAGGTCCCGATGGTCCCGTCAGGCTCAGGTCAAGTGTCCACGGATGCTCAGCTGAGGGTTCACTTGCAGTTCTTTGTTTCCATTGATGCACTGCTCCAGCTCTGATAAATTCATTTCCTGTCCTCTTCCCCCTCTCGCTTCTGAGTTTGAAATTATACATTTTTAATTCAGATCGGAGATCAAACTATTTTTTAACTTCAGTAATTCAACTTTCTCCGGATACAGCTTTCACTGAACATGTAACTACTGCACATTCCATGTATATTTTTTGTGGTATTTAATGTGCACTGCTAATGCTTTTGTTACGCTTTGAGTCCAGTGTGTTGCCGTCTTTAGATTTTTGTTCAATCATTCCTGAATTCTTAAATGTTCTTTTCAGTGTCTGTGATTTCTCTGTGCGCACACGGCACTGCAGTCTCATGCCATTTTTTTTACGGACATTGGCAGTTTACCTAAAAATTCATGCTCTTTCAACTTACGAAGACTTGGCACTCATCAGTATAAGATCACAGATGCAAACAATTCTGCAGTTTAAGAATGCGTCATGAATCTGACGTCTTCTTAGAAACTTCTCCAGAACAAATGTAAGAAAACTCTAAAGAACATATTGGTGAATGAGGCCCTGATGACTGTGTTTTCCTTTCCCACAGAGACGACTCAATCGCCAGCCTGGATAACACTGTCTGCCCTCGCAGGTGAGATTCATCTAGTTTTGCCTTCAATCCAGATTGAGTTTGCATAGTTTTGTCTGGTAAAAGCTTCAGCTTATTTATTTTACCTCCTATAAACCTATAAATCCGTTTATGAAAGCATCAACTGGTGTGTTGACATTTAGGTCTTCTGATTTTTGTCACCTTTATCCAGCACCTAGTGTGGATCAAGTTTTTAGTGCAGGCTTTTGTATACTTTCTGTGGAATCAACTAACGTCCCCTTCCTCCCTTCAGTACCTTACCCCCAGTGATTCGGCTGTGGCTGATGGACTACAGTGAAGACTTCCATGAACCCCCCCAGTACCCGGCCCTCAGGCTGATTTGTGCACACTTGCACCATCGCATCTGCTTCAGACGTCTGGCTAAGACTGCTGAGACCCTGCTCAAGAGGCTACAGGAACAAGGTACATAGGTGCAGTTACGTATTATCTGTTTATGTCCTGCCACCACAGTGCATGTCCTGCTGGTGATGGTGGTGGCTGTGCATGTGTACTGTAGATACATGATGTGTGGAATATGTATAAGAGAGAGTATGGAGAGAAAAAACTTGAGCTGAACAGTTGACTGCCCTCGGCTGTAAACAAGGATCAGGGCTGTACATAAACATAAACAACATATATAATAAACATTTAGGTTGATAGTTTTATAGCACAGGCACCAAAGTTTAAGCACGAGTTTTTAGTTAAACTTTGTCTTTATTGCAGGAACAATATAACTGTATAAACATGTTAATATATTTAAATTTGCAGTTCACCAACCTTTAAATCATACATATATATACCGACAAATTTTACAAAAGTCTATTTGTCTTTGAGAACCATCTAATCGGCTTTACACTTTGCATGTGTATTTTAAATTGCCCAAGAAAGTGCAGTGCTGAGTTTGGACCGCTTTGGGAACTCAATACAATACATATTTTAAAAGGTTTGATAAAACAGGCGACCAGAGCTCTGTAGCAGGCAATGTGCCTTTAGAGTTAAGAGTCATATCTTCTTCTACATTCCTCTTATAAACTACAGCAGCTGCTAGACATTTTGACGATTTGATTATTTTTATTTCACATATCAACTGAGACACAGACACAAACAGTCTGACCTGTTACTGGTGCAGATCTTCGTCATGGCAACAACATTGACAGATTCACTTCCTGTTTTACAAGTTGTCTTTAATGTTTATTTGGTTGCTGTGTTTTATATCAGGCGGAATCTCAGAGCTTTGAATAAGAAAATCTGTAAACTTGGGTCAGAAGTTTGTGTCATTTGATAAAAACCAATTAACATAAAATTGTCACTGCAGATAAACAAGTTAGGATGAACGCAGAGTTTTTTAACTATACTCTTCACCATATACTTTAAATAGCTGTGCACACAACGTTCAGCACACAAACAATAAAAAATGACAGTTTACCGTAGAACTGTTTGAGGAGGACTCACTAATGACAAGGAAAAATTCTGAAGTGGCTCCAGAGCTTGAACAGAGGAAAAGAGAACAAACAGATTTAGAATTGGCACTGCACTATGCTCACTGTGCTGAAATGATTCATTTAAAGGTCCGGTGTGTAAGATTTGGGTGAAAGGGATCTATCCAGAAATATTATGTAAAATGTGTTTCATCTAAATCGTATGAATTTTTGTTTTCTTTAACCTAGAATGGATCTTTCATATTGAAAAACTTTATATTTACATCGGAGGGGGTCCCCTCTATGGAGGCCGCCATTTTTTTTACATTAGTCCAAACTGGACAAACTAAAAACCTTTAGAGTTTTTATGACAACTGAAGCTGCCACAGGTTCTGTATCATGTTTGGAAGGAGAGGGTGAGGTGAGGGGTGTTCAGCTGCATCATGCAACTTCACTGCTACATGTCACTAAATTCTGCACACTGTAGCTTTAAGTGAAATGATACTTGTTGTTTAACATATGGTCATAAAATATACTGGCACCATTTTTCTCTCCTGTATAAGTGATGCATTATTGAGTGTTTGTCAATGTTTTGTTTGACTTTCCATGGAGCAGCCTGTTTGATTGTCATTTATGATTCTGTGTGTGTGACAGATTGTAGCCGGTCTGCGTCACAGGACAGTGGTAAATCATTGCAGCAGGATCCCAGGGATGAGGAGGACGGAAGTGACACGTCTGCTAAGGAGGACAAACACAGCTTTATGGACCTCCCTGTGAGAGAAATAGCGGAGCAGCTGACCAGACTGGACGCTGTAGGTTTTATAAACAAACATCTGAGAGCTCATTACTGCGTCACAGCAGGTCACTAACTCACACTGTGTGTCTTGTCATGGTCTGTCCCTCAGGATCTGTTTGCCAGAGTGGTGCCCTTCCACTGCCTGGGCTGCGTCTGGTCCCAGCGTGACAAGAAAGATAACAGAAACTTGGCGCCCACCGTCCGCGCCACCATCTTCCAGTTCAACGCCGTCACCAACCGTGTCATCACCTCACTCCTCTGTCCGTCCTCACCCAGCCCTCCCACTTCCTCTCCCATCTCATCGCCCGTCTCCTCCTCTAACTTCCTGTACCCCTCCACGGCCCCGAGCTCACCTCGCTGCTCGCACGCCAGCCCCGCCCACAGAGCACGTATCATTGAGAGGTGGATCGCTGTTGCACAGGTCAGGGTGGAAAGTAACTTCAAGTTACTGACATAAATGAGTTTACGTTTAAATAAAAAGCATAACAAACCCTTATTTTGTGTCTGTGTAGGAGTGTAGAGAGTTGAAGAATTTCTCGTCTTTGAGAGCGATCCTGTCAGCGCTGCAGTCCAACGCTGTGTATCGCCTCAAGAAGACCTGGGCGGCTGTCAGCAGGTCAGCAAACAGTTTCAAGACTCTGCAGGGTTGTTTTACTGAGAACATAAAGAACAGAGTTGTTTTAAATAAACCTGTGTTCAGACTGGTTGATGTACGAGTGGTCCGTTATAAGAATGAAGCAGGACATTCTCGGGAGGTTTCAAGTGAATGGGTGCGTTGATTATGTTTAACACAAGACAGCTGCATTCAGAATAAAGAAGCCTGCGTGTTATGTGACCAACTGAACTCCAAACCAGGATTGTATTATTATCCTTGAGAAAAAGAACGCACCTTGTTTTATTTACTCCACCAATAAAGTTTTGTTTACATCAGTGCTTTTTTTTGTCGGTTAGAAAGATGAATTACTCATTAAGGTGAATTTTGACTCTATATTTAAGAAAACTGTTTTAACTGAATGAACTTGGTTTCAGGGAGAGCACGGCCGCATTCGACCACCTGTGTGACACTTTTCCTGATGAAAACTGTGTGTTAACCACAAGAGAGATCCTCGTGGAGGTACGTTAATGTCTAATACATGAGGGAAAGATCTATTGAAATTGATTAAATTGCTCCATTGAATGAAGTGCAGTAGGAAAATGTGAGCTTACTTCATGCTTCACCAGTAGCTTTATTTATTTTCACCTTTTTATGCAACAAAATTGAATGCTCTTCTCTGACCTATACCACATCCTTCCACCAAGTTCTGTGTCAGTCTGTCCAAAGGTTTTTTGTGTAATCCTGCTAAATAACACACAAACCAACGGCAATGAAAACATAACCTCTTGGTGAAGGTAATCAATCCACTTGCTGACTGTATTCTGCACAAATGGCCTCTGATAGGTAGTTAACTGCTTGCCCTTAATGGTCTAATGTCATCTCTTGTTTAGTGTGCTTTTGTCACCTGATCTTATAAGAGTGGATGTGTGTTTGGTGTCCAGGCCACTTGCTGCTCTGTGTCCTTTGTCCACAGTGAAAAGCCGTAGATATGAATGTGTGTTTAGTGATATTTCTGTTATCCGCAGCCCAGTCTCTAAAGAATTATCAAAATCCCATTCTTCATGCCCAACACTAATAGAAATAGCTAGCTGGACACGAGCAGAGTTTATAAGCAGTTATTAATTTCATTGAGAACAATGTGTCTGATACAGTGCACACAGGGCATAAGTAACACAACAGGCTGAAACCTTGTGGATGGCTCTGAACAATAGTTGTCACACTGCCCGTCACATTTGTGTCGCCGCACACCAAGCTCTCTCATACTGACACTGAATTTGTATTATCTTGTTCTATAAAAACTAATATTACTGTCGTCCATTTCCTTCAGGATGACAGTCCCTCAGATAGCAGCACCACCACAGGCTCTAAACCGCGGCTCTGCTCAACGTCCAAACAGATGGTACGAAAATAACCTTTTGGTTTGGAAATAACCTTGTGGTTCCTCAATTTTAGGTTTGACAACCAAAGCGAAGTGACTGTTTCAGCTGTGCCAGTCAGTAAAAATTGAAAGGAAGAGGTATATTCGTTACACTTGTGCTTCTCTAAAAGGCACATGTTCTCAAGCTGGTTTACTTTACTAAAATAGACGTCAGTTGATTCCGAGCTTCCTCTTCATTTCCAATCTGTTCTATAGAAAAACACAACAGGGTTGGGTTATCAGTGTCAGATGTTTGTGAATCTGTTACACACCCATGTACCCCACCCTTGCCCCATGCCAACGTTCATCATAGTGATTCATTGTACTTGTCGTCATATGCCAAATCACACCGCCCAACCCTCATTTGGAACTCGTATCACTGTTGGTATTCTCATTTACATAACATCCTTTGCATTGTTTCCCACAGCTTGCCAGTTTACTCAGTCTGGGTGGGGCTGTGTAACTGTGAAAGTGTTTTAGAATTTTCACCCTGTTTAAATTGTGATTTTTGTGTGTTTTAACTAGTCTGTCTTTCTCTGTCAGTTTTATTTGTGTATTCCTATCATTATTACTTATAACTATGAGGAATAAAATATGGAATTTCTTATTTGTTATTTCAATCTTAACTCTTCAAGTATCTGGCTCAATCTCAGTGGTTTAACTTGACGTAGCCAGGGCTACGGCCATAGGCAGTGGTGATGCACAGGTTGACTCATAATCCTCAGGTCGGGCGTGTCTCAGTTATCATGTGTTATCAGAGATCTAGTACACAAGTCACCAATGCTGTGCAGTTATAAGAGAAAAGTAATGAGGTATCATGTGTGTGATATTCCATGATGACTCAGACCCTGGTTTAAGGGGCCAGATTCAATTTAGCTCTAGATGATTTGTTTTTGGTGATAGATCAGTCAATCTTCATGGCAGGAGACAAACACATCAGAAACTACATTGTTACTCAGTTAAGCGAATACCTCAAGGCCCAACAGTGAAATTACACACACTCATAAATATCAGTCCTCTAAATATGTCTAATTTACAATTCATTCAGTGCTTTATTATCTCTTTGACTCTAAATGGGACCTTAATTTACAAAATGAACATCAGGCTGGAATGAGAAAGACGAGAGAGAGAACAACAATTAGGAGTTCACTACTCTCATATCTGCATCATCTTTATTAAATTAAACAAAAAAATCTATATTCTATTATTTTTCAGTGGTAAACACATAGTTTGATTATTGTCCACAGAACCTGAGCAGTGGAGTTGTGCCGTACCTGGGCACGTATCTGACCGTCCTCACCATGCTGGACACAGCACTGACTGACACAGTGGAGGTGAGAACACATCCCACCCACAGACCAAGCATTTGAGGTTTTTATCACACTTGACACCATATTAAACTGGTTGTTCGTCTCTTTTCACAGGGCGGACTCATCAACTTTGAGAAACGCAGACGAGTAGGTGTCGCCTCCTGGTGGTGTCTTATATAAAAGACTACCAACACGCACCACTTTTGTTTTTTATGTTCTGTTATTCTTCTCTTTTCCAGGAGTTTGAGATTCTCTCCCAGATTCGACAACTTCAGGCTTCCTGTTCCCACTACAACCTCCAGGTGAACCCTCACATCACAGCCTGGCTGCAGGCGCACACTCTGCTCACAGACCAGGAGAGGTGGGACACACACACCGACACCCCTGCAATACCATAGAAATACAATCATTGCTATTGTGTCATATCTAAAAGTCATTTTTTGGCCTTTTTGAAGCTATGAGCTGTCCCGTGACCTGGAGCCTCCAGTTGACCCGTGTCCCAGCTCCCCCAACTCCTGGAGCAGTCGTCTGCTCACAAAGAAGCTTGCCTCGTAAGACTGAGGGATCGACTTTATCTAAAGCTGTCAAAACTAGATGTCTTTACATTTATTCAGAATAATGTAGTGATATATAATGTCTGTATGCAAAAACACAATTGTGGGCCAGAATTGTTTTAGATTTTAAACACAGATAGATGTACTTTATTGATGACTGTTTTCGTGGCACTTGTGGTTCTTTATGGTTATTTTTACTATTCAGTGAATAAAATCGTGTGTGCAGGTTGCGAACAGCCAGTGACAGCTCCATCAGGAAGACCCATGCTGATCAGATCAGTGTGTCGTCCTCTGGCTCCAGCAGTTCAGAAATGGAGGACCTCTCCGCCCCTCAGCCTTCCCCCCTCAGACTCAAACTCAAGGTACAAACACAACAGCTTTCACTCTCATATGTTTGAGATCAGCAGGGACGTTGGTTGGTTTACACGTTTGGAAAACTGCCTTAAAATTGGAACAAAATATGCATATTTTCTCCTCTGTCTTCCCATCAGTCCCTGTCAGGTTCTCTTCTCGACGTAGCCGAGGACTTCTCCTCCTCCTCTCCCAGCCTCTCCACCTCCTCCTGCAGCTCCTCTCAGCCGGACCTCAGCTCCTCCTCTCTGGCGCTGAGCCCTGAGTCATCATCGTCCAGCTGCTCACCTCAGGCCTCACTGCCCGTCTACAACAAACAGGTTGCAGACTCATGCATCATCAGGGTCAGTGTGGAGTCTGTCAGCAATGGAAACGTCTACAAGAGCATACTGGTGAGGACAGCAGTTGTATAATCGTGTTTTTTCTGTCTGTTGTTGGCTGATTTAGTTTGATACATCCTAAAAGAAGAAAAGCAGAAGAAACAAAAAAGAAAGCAGAAGTGGGAGGAGTAGTGTTGCTTAATGAACTGTCTTCCAAAAGCATTTAAAGCAGGGTTACTTTTGAACAACCTTTGTACAGCGTTTTGTCCAAGAAAAAATCTGAACGGATTTGAAATTTTTACTGGCATTTGTAAACACTATAAAAGCCAGTAAATTGCACTCTATAACACTACAACACTATAAACTGATATGCTGTTAGTCCCCCAGGATTTATTAATGAATCCTGCTTGTTTCAGCATAATCTATTTACCCAGATCTCTTATTTTCACTGACTAATAAATCAATTGACTTTTTTCTGTGACTCAATATTTTAAAAATGTAATGATATTCAGTGCAGGTAGATGGTGCTAAATATCCATTGTTATGAAACAAATGATATGTAACCAGCAAATGATTGGATTACATAAGTTGTCTACTGTTACCACCCTATGTGTATTGGCCTTCGCAGCCACATCTAGCAATTCAAAAACCCCAGTTTGTAAAATGCGAGCCATCCATTATTAGTTGAAAGCAACAGTTACAACCTGAATGTTTCTGCTCCGTGCTGCAGCACAGCAGAGTCACTTCACAGGAATCTTATCACATGATTGACCCATGTCTTCTCTTGTATAATGTCTGTTTTGGGTAATCAGTAACACTGGTGTGGTTCATTACAAAATCGGAAACTTTCCACATCGGGTTATCTCTATTAAATATTCAATAAAATTACAATAATACAAAGAGGGTATATAACCAAATGATTATATAAGCAAATAGAATGTCACTCAGTAGAGTACACACTTCTGCCTAGGCCCAACAGTCCTCTTATGAAACCACTGAACATTCACTAGATTCAGATCTTTATTTGGACCAAATTGCAGGCACTCATATGTCAGTCCCATAAACATACCTTTACTTGAAACCAAGGACTGTCCTGCAATGTTAAACAAGGTGGGTAAAATAAATTCCTGGATTTGCCCCCTGATTGAGCTTTGCACCAAATTGTAATATGTTGTTCTTTGGTTTCAAGTTTCATGGGAGAAGGTTGAGTTTTTGAGAAATCCTTGCAGAGGAAAACATAACCTCCTTAGCTGGATGTTACCAAGGTGAGGAGCACCGCCTCACATCACACTGAATGAAAGGTACTGACAGTCAGTGTGCTGTGTCCTCTCCAGCTGACCAGTCAGGACCACACCCCTCAGGTGATTCAGAGAGCGATTGAAAAACACAACATGGAGGACGTCAGCTGCCACGACTTCAGCCTCTGCCAGATGCTTAGCAACGGAAAAGGTGAATATCTGCTCTGGGTAGATATGAGGTAGACGTATGAACTGCTCACAATATGATTGACTCTAACACATGTTTCTCTGGAGTAGGACTCTCCAATGACTATTAACTGGTTTAATTAATTCCAGTATTTAACAAAAAGCAAGAGACCCACTGTAGAGGAGGCCATGATACGTTCCTTCACGTCACTACCTGTAAAATACTTTCTTCCGAATCAACTGCAACACATAATAATGATTTTAGAAAGGGTAAAAACTGTCAGCTAGAACAAATGCTCCTCCCTGCCTTCAGTTATGCTATCCTTCTTTCTAAGCAGAGTTAAAGTGGAGATATTTTGGAAAATTCTCATGATAAACCTTAGAAATGTAGGAAGGGAAGTAGAAGTAGACTAAGAGGAGATAAACTGCATCACCTCATCGCCTCATCTCTCTTTCTGCCTCAGAGCTCCAGATCCCAGACAAAGCCAATGTGTTCTATGCCATGTGCACCAATGCCAACTATGACTTTGTCCTGCGCCAGCACTGGAGGAGCCACGGGAGACATCTTGGCTCTTCTCTCAGCCCCGGAGCTCCAGCCAAGGGTCGCTACGCCAAGTGATAAGCTACTGCGGGTTCAGGGTACAACTAGGAGACGGACGAGCTGCTCATCTGCAACAACAAAATGTAGGTGGTTGTGTGTGTCCACTCATCACTGTGTGGTCGTCAGTGGAGAGCAGATGGTGTATGAGCTGCTCCGCCACAGAGAATCCCAAGAAACCTGAGAGCTCCGACTCAAAATACTGACCTGAGGGAGTATTTTCAGCGTGAAGTCGTCTGTACTGGAAGCGGCATTGAAATGTTTTACATCACACAATGTTCACCACCGTGAAGAGTTTGGGGAATATGTGAAAAAGAGACACCAAGAAGAACCTGAGATGATATTTTTGTATTCTCAGATTTTTATCTTGACAGTGAGACACATTCACCCATGAACACTCTTTTATCACATTGTGACTTGTAACTCCCACTCGACCCTGGGAGAACACATCCATGTCAGCCAGTTATAGACCTGAGGAGCAGCTGGTCTGAGGAAACATTGTTGTCCACATGACAGTGGAACGTGATGAATGTGGCCGTGTGGCTGCAGAGTCAGGTCGTCACGCTGGGACGCTGCTTCTCCCGTTTTCTTCCAGCATGTATTTTGTTGGATGAGTAACAGGAGTTGCTGAGAAGGACTTATTATGGGATGTTCACAGTTACCTAATCGGTCAAAGTTTCTGAACAGATCTGGGTCAAAACTGACCCCCCACCTCTGTTGTTCTTCTGAGAATTTAGATGTTTTAATGTAACTTAATGTTATTTTATCAACTAAAATTATTTAATGCATTTCAGTATTCAGTCTTTAGAAGAAAAGTGGTAATGATAAAGTTGTTTCCGTTTTTTATGTTTTAGTATATTTTAATTATTCTGATCCACGCTATTCTTAGATGTACACTTCTTAAACTGGGCTATAGCTAACTCCACCTGTCTACGTGAAAACGAGATTTTCCCTGAAGAACGGTTCCTGTACGTGAATAAGAAGCGTCTGAGTACGTGAACTGATGTGACTTATGCATGATCATCTCAGTGATGTGAAATCCTCCTCCAAACTTTCCCGGGAGCTTTCTGCGAGTTCTAATATAGAGTATCGATGATATAGTCACAAAAAATATAATTAAAAGTCAATGCTTTCCTGTAATTTAAAGATGCGCACATGATGGTGAAACCCTGTTGAGTTTGGAGAAGAGTTTTGCACCACTGAGTTTTAAATCTACTGTGGGTGTGGAATGTGAGGTTAAAGTTTGGTAATGAGGTGTGGCAGCTGCAATATAAGAAGGAAGAGTCTGTCTGTCTGTCTGTCTCTCTGTCTGTATGTAATCTCTTGTTAGTTCTCCTGTATTATGTGTCTGAAGTGAAGTCATCAGCATTATGCACACAATAATTTTGTTTGATGTGTCTTTGTTCTTTTTACTCCAACAGATTCTTTATTTTAAAGTTTATTCTAAGCACTTGTTGTCTATAATTAGTATTAAATGTCCATTAATAAAGTCACTTTACAATTTACCACTGTGTCGCAATCTGGTATCAACATGAAATCAACTGTAGTGGTTAATATCTAAGCTAGTAATTATTTACCTGATATGAGCTGGGGTTTTGTAACTCAGTGTGGGTGTGTCATGTCATAACTGAAACTGAGTGGATAAACATAGCATAGTTTGACCTCTAGAGGGAGCCAGACACAAGTACATTGAATGTTATGTCCTTCTCAGTGCCTCCTTGTTCCATTCAAAAACAAACTGGTTCATTCCAGAGTCAAGTCTTTATAGAGGTAATCTGTATTTTGTCCAATGTGAAGCAGATTCAGATAAAATCGTTTGTGGGGAAACAATGTAGTTGAAAGAGATAAAAGCCAAACCCACTTCCTATCATCAGATTGAAGAAGAGCTAGAACTGCAGTTAGAGCAGAATGAGCAGAGGCGGGTTCGGGTCAGCGAGGTCGCTTCCCTGCCTCTGCACCATGATGAAGCCTTGAGCAATGTGGGAGGTCAAAGTTCATGGCGACAGATGTGTTTGTGTGCTTGGTGGTGGTGGGAAGTTGTGACCAGTGTCTAATTTCCATAGTTTTGAACACACTTCTCACACTTTAACGTTTCTCCCAGAGTGTGGTGAGATTTCTAAGAATTCAGTGTAAAGTGGTTCAGAGGCAAAGCATAGCATACTTTATTATTTCCTCCTCTCTGCTTGTCTTTCCTCTGCTCTGCCTTTTATCTAAGAGCGCTATTGCTTATCTATAGCCACAGCCTATAGCCTGTGTTTACCTGTGTGTTCATCCTGTGGAATTGCACTATGCTTTGTATTCATTAGTATATCTACATGCATCACAAGCTAAACACACCTCATTCATATGTGTTATTAGCTGTAGAATTACTGCGTCTCTCTTCCAGTGCTGCATGTCAATCCCGTCCTCAGGGGCAGTTTTAGGGGTGGGGCCTGGGGGGCACTGGCTCCACTTAAAATCTGGTTGGCCCCTGAGGCATCTCTATCCTGTCAGTAGTCTTTAAATAGATAAATAAACTAGTCACTCAGCGACAATACTAACAATAATTATGACAGCTGCATTTTTTTTCCCAAGCTCTTTTGAAAGAGACAATTTTCAAATTATATTCTATGATATGTGGCTTTGCTCCAAGCTTTAGAGCAAACAGTAAACAAGGAAAGACTTAAATGTGCACCATTTCAAATCAGGAATTGTGCCTGGACATATAATTGGCCCCTCTGTGTAAATTGCGGCCCCTTTATGGCCCCCGATTTAGAAGATTCCTAGATCTGCCACTGCTCCCAATTGACTACTTCTATCACATCAAGATAATTCCCAACAACAAAGATGTGATTTTCCCTCTGAAGGCAGAAGCCATCTCTTTTTTTTTTTTCCACTTGTGGTTGTGGGTTTTTGATGTCCTCCTCTGCACCAGGGCCTTGTAGTGGCTTGAATCTTAATACAATTTCTTGCAGCGTGCTCTGGGTCACATCAGGCGTCTTCCCTTATATGAACCTCTAGTCTGCACAAACTGTTCCATCAACCGACTCCGGCTCTTTAACATTTGGGGATTGGTGTCGTATGAGAGCTGAATGTGAATTAGTCTCAGTTCAACCCAGGTTCACTCAGAGAAGCGGCTGAAATTAGTTTTTCACATTTGTGTTTTGTGTGAAGTGTTTTTGTGTTTTAATGGCAGAAATGAAGCCTGAAGCCCAAAATAAAATCATCAGCAGAATCTGTTGACGACCACACTGTGATGAAAAATGTTTTAATGTTTTCATTTTAAATATGTTCCGTTGGATCATAAAGGACAAAACATATCCACCATTGCATGCATCTATCAAAACTAAGCAAAATCGTAGGAATTTTGATGTTTTTCAGATTTTGCTGATTATATATTGTTTGAATAGAAATATTAATTAGACAGGGTGAACTGTTTTAGCACCACGGATCAATGCAATGCAGTCACTCTTACGTTAACAATATGTCAGCATTTGTTTGGACCTAATATTTTCTTTCATTTCAGCAGATATGTGATAAGTGACCCAAGGTTCGAGACCAAGAAAAATAAATTATGCTTTGATAGTTCATATACATTATTGGCTTTACTAATGGTCTCATGGTGGCGCTATCTGGTCAAAATCTGATCTGGTTCCTTTTCCTTCTTTAAGTGTGTTGTTTTTTAAATATCTGCCTACAAGAGAGACAGTAACAATAACAGCAGCACTGAAAATATAACCTTGGTAGTGGAGCAGCTGTGTGTCACTGTGTCACTGCGATATGCAAGAGCAAAGTGGTATTAAGTAAGGAGTTTCACGTATTCCAAAAAAACTACTGAAGTTATTTCTTTATGTAATTTTCAATAATTTTCTTATATCAGGTTAAATGGTGGAGAACATCCCCCCCAGTCCCATGTAACAGAAACATGCAGCTTTCATGGGTTTTACTGGATTTGTCTTTACATTTTTTCTTTGGGCCTCCATCGGAAGAAGTTAAGTCCAACTTCACAAAACTCAGTTAAACGTCATGTATGCACCTTCAGCAGTGTGGCACAGTGACACGCTCATGAATTCAGTCTAAATCCCTCCGCACAGACACATATGTCCAAAGTCATGTGTCCCCAAATCCACCCTTTTGTGTCAGTACTGGACACGGGTTGCATGTCTCCTGTTCACTCGACTGAGAATAATAACTAACGACTAATCACAGATTAGTGTGAGGCTGCGTGTTTTCTTGCATGTGAGGCCGAGGCCACTGTGTGAGTGTGTCTACAGTAAAATGTGAGCATGTGATGTGAACAAGCGTCTGTCAGTGTGTGTGTGAGTAGTTTGCCTGTCCAGTCACGCACAGATATACAGCGCAATAGGTCAGTGGGAGAAGATTTGTTCAATTGGTCACCTCAACATTTTTCTAATGCCCCTCTGGTTGTGTGTGTGTGTGTGTGTGTGTGTCCTGCAGTGGTTGTACATTAGCAGGTTTGTGGTGTAACAGTAGACAGATGGGAGAAATGGCTGAGACTAATCTAAGGGGGTTAATCCACTTAATAACCACCATGAAGAACTGCAGGTTACCTCACTCACCACAGCTCCAACATGTTGTTTGTCTATCAGGTCGCTCCGCGGTGGAAAATGCCACCTGTGCATTATTACTGATAAAACCTCACCGTATGAGCTGTGTGCACTGAATCAACTTGAGATAGATTTATAGGATCAAACCACCTCTGATTTATTACATTCCATAGTAATATGCTGCTCACATGCCCGTATGTTTATTAAAATGTTTAAATTTCCTTTATAGAGACTTTTCTGAGCATTACTCCATCATAAGCTTGCGTCAGGCTTATCCAGCACCCTGCAATAACCAAATCAAGTTATAATCCTAATTCACAGGCTTTTTTGAAATAAATTCACCCTGTTTCCCAGTACGGCCTCCTTGCTCTGTAGATCATCAGAATGCAAGAATCAGAAACCAGAAAGGAAATGTGTCACTAAAAGTTACCATACGTTTGGAAGAAACTCTCCACTTTTGGCAAACCCACACAATTAAAGTCTGATATTATCTTGGCCAGAGCAAAGACTGTTTCATAATAAATGATAATGAATAAGTCTTCCTTGGAAACAACACATAAATTCCTGCTTGTAATGTCTCATCAGGGGCATGTACAGCCTACCTCCTCTCTGTGTTTAATTAACTGTGTTGATCTCCGCTGATGTTCCACGTTAAATATTTATGGAACAATGTTGGCAGCTTGGATTTAAAACTGTGCACTCGAGCCCATGTGTTCATCAGCGCTCCTCTGGTGTCAGTAAAATATTTGCACTGTGGATACACACAGCTCACAAATATGGATCTTTTAACGTGGCAGACAGGGACAGGGCTTCTCAACGCCTGAGTCAGAGCTCTAAAACAGCTATGTGGGAACTTTGTGTGTCTAGATGGAATCAGTATGTGATTACATCAGAAAGTGTGACGCATTTCTTTGGTGGGCAACATGAAACTCACTGTAAAAATCTAAAAAATAGGATGGCAAATATCCAAAAACCTAAGCAAACCTACTATTTTTATTGACTTCCCTCATGGTTTCTGTTAATAATGAGGTGCATGTATGTTTTTACTTAAAAAACAATTTTAAAAAGGTATGTTTAAGTGAGTAGTTTCTTTCAAAGGAATTAGTTTGACATTCTGGGGAAAGACATTTGAGTAAGTTTAGCTGAACTTAAGAGAAGCAGAGAGCCTCGCTCTGTCTACACGTAATAAAATTAGCTCACCACTCATTTTAGCCAAAAAATTATGATAATACATGAACAAACAACACTTTATGGTTTTACGGGCGGTTACGTGCCCAACGATTTCTTGGCTGGTGCACAGGAGTCTGCTGTCATGTTGAGGTTGCCAGACAGCGGCTGGCTGTAGCTCCACATTTACCATACAGACATGTTAGCAGCATTTAGGTCATTTTAAACTGTTAAAATTTTTGCCTTCTGTTTAGTTTTTCCTGGAAAAAAGAAACGTAATACTTTGATCTCTGGAAATATCTTGAAAAATTGAAAAATGCTCAAGCTAAACTAGTAGTATTTCGTTCACTTAAAATTTTGCCTTGTGTTTTGCCTTAATAGTCTCTGGAAAAACCCTGAAAAAGGGGAATATGTCCAAAATATCTTCCGCAGATGACAGATTGCTTGTGTCAGTGGCCAAACGAATATGGCCGTCCTATTCCTCCATTTGGACAAACACTCACACAAACATGCAGGGACAGGCTACTTCCTGTGGCACAAGGGCACAATATATGGCAATGGGACCCAAGGGTGGTTTCACATTGCATAACATGGAGCTGAATCATCGCTCACACACAAACATCCCAGTGGCCTACTTTCATATCAGAAATGCACAATTTTCTTATGGCCTATTTTTACATTGTGATGTAAATGCTTCGCTGTGTCTGTGTGCGTGTGTGTTGTGTCCCACTCACGGGCCTTCCGCAAATCATAATTTGTGCTAATGTACGTAACACTCACACACACATTACATTTCCTGACCTATTTTACAGAGCTGTGTAGGGCAGAGGCAGTGAGCGGGGATTGAATGGGGCATGGCAGGCAACATAACTCCCCCTTGAACAGCAGCCAACCAAGCATGTCCAACAGATGAGTCGTTTTTCTCCCTCGCTCTGCTTTCTCTCAAAGGCTTCCTGCAGGCGTGTGCAAATCAGGGACACATCTCGCAGTGTAGCCTACATAAAATACATAGATTCATTTGTGCTGATATCACAGTTGTAGCATGTGCGTCTTTTTACATCAAAGGAATTTTAGGCTTGATTTGGGTTTAATGTGAGATTTTGAAATTGTGTTACCAAACATCCTGAAGTAAAGACAAACATATCCATAAATCCCTAATGGCAGTAAAGTGAGGCACAACAACTTGTTTATTTAAATTACAATCATCATCAAAGGAAATGATCTATAAATAAATGAAAATTCAGAAGATATGCCTAAAGTTTATTAATAACTCACTGAGGTGACTTGAGACTCTTGGTGGACACCATGTCCATCCATGCTGCAACAGGCTTAATACAACTGCATTCCTGAGTGATTTATTCTGTATTTTAAGAAATAGGGATAAGATTATTTTCAGTTTGACCAGTTTCCGGCTGATCTTAATCAAATCATCCAGACAGATTTTTGTTTTAATTATAATAGTGATTTTTATATGATCAGCTGAGACAATGCTTTTTTTAAAAACATAGTTTCTTCCACAAGAAGACACAAAACTGAGAGATTCAGTGTTTGCAAGGGCTGGATTGTGAAAAACAAACTGCACACTAGCAAGCACTGATGTAATATTCAAAGCTGGGTCAGTTAAGCTCTATTGCGCAATGAGTTTTTTTCTGCTTCGTTGACCTCCCAATGATTTTCTCCTCTCCATTCAGTTGATTTCAGCTCATTTCAGCTGAGATTTCTGCAGCGAGCGACGGTATTTGACATCTGCTCGGCAGGATGTAAACAGCACATCCTCTCTGTGAGGATGACGAGCTAAAACGACTCTGATCTGAAATTCAGAGGTGTAAACTGTCAACACACACAAACACACACACATACACACATATATATCAACACACACTCCTCGGCTAGATCCTCTTTACCCCATCCCTGGCTCTCCCTGTGCTGCTGACCTACATACTGCAGCATCCCAGTTACATAACCAGTCAGGGCTGATGATCACCGCAGGCAGCGCAGGGCCAACACCCCCTCCCTCTCTCTCTTGCACACACACACTCTTCGCCATGACCGACCAGTTTTCATAAATATCTTCATTTTACAGGAAATTAATATTCCAGGTAACGGCTCCTCTGCTGTGCACACACCTGAGGGACAGGTGGATTCAAATGGCATGTGCTGGAACACTGCTGAGAAAAGTCCAAATTAGGTCAAACTTGAATGTCTGGGATTTGGTATCTAATCCCACAGCAGGCATCACTTTCTACAACCTGTATTTCCCCAAAGATGGCCTGTAAATATCTGCACACTGAAAAAACCACACCCAATTTCCATTAAGTTGGTCAGATAAAATCATCAATATACAACCATAAACATGCCATGGAGCTTTGTATTACATAACTGAATTAGTTCTGACGAATTAAAAAATCTGTGTGTGCTTGTCGACTTGATGCAACATCAAACTGAAATGTGCGTGTCTGTGTGTGTGTCACTGACCTGCTCCCTCATGCAGCAACAAGATAGGGGCTTTTTTCTGACTGGTTTGCTCAAGTTTACACTGTAGAGACATGTGACGTAATCCTCCCTCCCCCCCCCCCTGCCCCCCCCCCCCTCTCCCTCCCTGCTCTCCACTCTGAATACCTCTCTCTCTCTCCTGCTCCTCACCCCTTCCCCTCCTCTCCCATCCCTCCTCACTGACCTACTTTTACTCTCCTGGCCTGTTTTCGCAAGCCTCCGCACAACACAAAGGAGCTTTTACAGCTCAAAGACGGGTTGGAGGGGGGAAAAGGGGGGGAGTTAGAGAGAGAGCGAAAAAGAGAAAACAAGAGATAGTGAGAGGGAAGTGGAAGGTGGGAAGGAGAAAAGGTGAAAAGGAAAGAGAGGAAAGTGCAACACAAAGCACTGCGGTTTTCTCAGGAATGCCACCTTGTTACAGCAGAAGTGAAGACAGATTAAAGCTGCACATTGGTGCGTCTGTGTGTGGTCAGCTGCTTCCAAACACCTTCATTCTTCCTCTTTCTCTTGCAGGAGTAAGCTCCTATTGCTTCACACTAAAAGTATTGCGCATAAGTTTGAATTGTTTCACAGATTTGCACAACATGATGGTAATAATCTCTGAGGAGGAAAACATGTTGTATGCTTTTTTGCTTATTTGTTGGCATTTGTGTTTCCAGAGTTGACATCCTGAGAATCTTATTAAGTTTGGGTGTTTCCTTCTCAAACAGCAACACCCCTGTATCTGATAGGCTCTCCTCTCCTTAATGACTCTTATGTAACCCATGTCAGTGGCAAGCTCTGCCCATGCCAGCTTTCAGTTCCTATCAGCTATTGTTCCATTAACAGCAGGGTCAGATGGAGGCTGCTGCACTTTATAGTCTGACGCAGTTTTCTCCCAAGACAGTTGTGTAACTTGTTTTTTGCTTGATGCACTCTGTTACACGCTGTGATTTGTTTTTCTGTTTTTATCTATCTAAGACACTGGTTCATGGTGTTGAGCAATAATGGACTGACCAGACACAGAGAGCAACATAAAGCAACTTCGCTAGTGGGGAACTTCTTTTTTGATGAAACACTGTGTTGTGTGTGTTTTAATGCTGACATTCCCTCTTTCAGTTAAGTAGCTATGAAAGTGGCCAGTTTGCATTTATTTCAGTAGATTTAAAATCAAGATTATTTTAATTGCATCACAAATGTTGTATTTTCTGAACTAGATTTAAAAAGCTCAGTAAAAAACAACTTTTCTCTTTTATCCATTTCTATTTGAGTTAACCTCTTGTAGTCCACTATCCCACACCCCTGAAGGACATGCCTAAAATGAATAGTGTATATCTCTGCAACTACAGGGTCCTAATGGTATCTATGTAAAGGTATCTATTTATATTGGTATCTAGGTATCACTTGTTTGATTCCTGCAGAGATGTACACATCAGTATAGATTTTAATGTGTCAGAGTAAATTAAGATAGAAGACAAGATAAAGTAAGTATTTTATTTCCGCCTTAAAGAAAGGGACAATTTTAGAGTGAATGTCCCCTAGGAAATCATGCAGGTGCAGCAAAACCTCTAGTAATCCATAAAATTATGACATCATCTGTGGTCAATTTAATTTTAATAAAGTGAGAAAAGTTAGAGAGCTTTTAGGAGCAATATGAAAGGGTGTCCTCCCCAAATGACTGTATTGGCACAATCTGTGCCTTTTGAGATTTCTCACTATAAAAATAATTTATTCTCACTGTTTTCATTTGACTGCTTGACTTTTCGTTCTTATAGTTTTTATTTATATATATCATCCAATGAATAGACTCTTGTGATGAGACAGCCTGTTTTTAAAATATGTTGTTTACATTGGAGTTGTGTGTATTTTGTAGGGTTCAACGACATGAATGTTCAGGCAGAGGTTAGGTTTGGACAACAGATTTCCTCCTGTGCTAAAATATCACAGTCTATGTATTGTTCCTATTTCAGTCCATTTCACAGAATCTCTGCCAATAGGCAGCAGGCTTCCAGTGATGACTGGATGAACCAGTAAAGTTTTTCTGGCTGTGTCGGCTCTCATTGAGCTGCGCTGGCAGACGGAGATGTTGCTGTCTGCGAGTTGTGAATCAGCTACTTGGTCTTCTTTTCTTTTACAAAAAAAAAAAAGCTAGTCTGGTTGCGAGGGTGTGCATCTGTTCTGAAAGCATTTCATAAGAGAGCGACTCAATAAGTACAAAAGAGACATTTATAAATTCAACAACCTTTTTATTTTTTCCCCCCATATTTGAATCTTTCACATTCAAAAATGAGTGTTTTTTTGTGACCATTTTGCATATCCACGTGAAGTATATCAATACATAATCACTTCTGGACAAGCCTTATTGAATTTTTTTTTTTCTTCCATATTTTCCAAAAAGCCTTTCGGCAACAGCAAGGGTTATACAGTAACACGTAGTACAAATGGTAACTGGGGCAAAGGGCAGCAAGGGTTAAATACACAGCACAACCAGGAAGAGCATTGAGCAAAATGACACAACAGGATGACATAAAAATACACATAATAAAAGCCAAAATAATAACAGAATATAATAGAAAATAACAATATTAATAAAATAATAATAAAATAATGACAGCAGTATACAAGAGATAGAGAGACAAATTTACATTTATACATAGTGACCAAAGGCAGGCACCAGGAAGTGAAACAGTTGTACAGACGTGTGTGATATACTGCAGCTACTGTAGCTAAAACAACTCAGTGCAGAGGTGAGTGGGGTCATTAAGACATTGAGGGGACGAGGGACAACACAATAAAGAGGCACCTTATGAAGCGAGAGCAGCCTTGCTGGTTGCGACCGGAGAGCCGTTTCATTTATTAGACAGACGACGTTCGTCTAGAAAATGAAGATGTATTGATTACTGTTGAACGGCCTGCAAACGAGGCTCACCTTGTGCTTGTCAAGTTTTGCCGACAGCAATGTGTGACTGCATAGCCTTGATTGATACAAGAGTAACTGGCCTTGACTGCTCTGACAGCTTTAAGTGTCAAAGAGCTTGGATCACCTGAACGAGGAACCCGAGCTGAGTCTGAAAAAAACTCAATTTTTTCTTTTTTTTTACTTTGAAGTAATCTTTGAGACATTTTCTAGACAAAGAGGGACTGTACAAGGTGTCTCCACAAGAGCAAACTGATCACTTTAAAGTCTACAACTTCCGTTATCCCACAACTTTATTTTTTTTGTTTTTGCCACATTTTTATACTTAAAATATATATTCCATATATGCAAATTTATATGTCACAGTAATATACAATCTAAGTGCTTCAGAAGGAACTTGTGTGCAGATGATGAGAGGGTTTGGGATCAAATGGTTCTAATGTGTTCGGAGGGAGGAGGAATGTCACTCTTTGCCAAAAAAGGAAGGACGTGTATCTTTGGTCAAAGGAATGTTCCCATAATGCCACGGTAAATGCGGACCAGCCACCCAGGCAGCTTATAATAATGAATAATTGAAGATTGTTTGAATATTCCACGAGGGAAATATCCCAGACTCCATCTCTGGAGAGTTTCATTCTGTCCCCTCCCTCATTAAGAGATCTGTTATTGTAAATTGGGAGATATGTGGGAGGTAGGAGAGAGTATAGGGAAGGGGAATAGGTGACACAGTGAAACTTCATGGTGAAATCACATCCTAACTACACCTCACACAGATCACTGGCTTCGTTTCTGTCTTGTAAGGTGGCGATGTGAGTCCTAGTTGTAGTTGTCTGTCTGCCATAGACAACAAAGAGGAGATGCTCGAGCTGCTCCCATTTGTCCTTAATCCCGCCTCTTATTACGTCCACCCCTCCCACTGCTAGATCCCTTTTTTCCTCCCTCCTTCTTATCGTCCATCCTGTCATTTACAGGAGTCTTAACATCTTCTGCATAGTCAGTGTCATTCTCTACCTCTTTGCTCTCCCCATTGGCGTGGCTGCTGTGAGGATTGCTGGGTAGAGCTAAGTACGGGTGCTGGGGCAAGGTGGGAGAGGGGGACATGGATGTGTTGACTAGACCCTCTAGCTGTGCTCCTGCTGCCCCACTGGACAGTGCTCTGTACTTGAGACGGAGCTTGTGTGGCAGAGCAGTAGCTTTGACCTCGGCTTGGCACTCTCCGTGAAAACCGGCAGCTTCCACTGCCTTCTGGTGGTAGCTGCTAATGTCTGAGGAGGATGAGGAGGGTGACTCATCATCTGTGGAACCCTCCTTGTCAGAGCTACGAGGGTCCCCATCACTGGAAGAGGTGTCCTTAGTAGAGGAGGTCTCCTGGTAGAAACCATCAACTCGGGGGCCCCCCTCATAGGTGAGCACTGGGGGCTCTTCATCCAGTGTGTTGAGGTAGCCATTGTGCTGCACAAAGGAGGACTTGCCCTCCTCAGTGTTGTGGGTCAGATCTGGGGCAAAGGGGTTCTGGTGGCTTTCTGCGTGCTGACGACCATTCTCCTGACCCTGGTAGCTATAATGCTGCTGTTGGGCACTAGGATTGTACTTTTCCTGAAGCTCCTCTACTGACTCAGCATGACCATTGGTGTATTCATACTGAGGCGAGTCCATAGTCTTTGTCCTCTCTAACTTCTCAGCGACCTCTGTGATGGTCAATGAACAGTCAGAGAACTTGGAGGTCGACGATTGCTGGAAAAGCTGTGGAGGTCTGCTCTGCTGGACTTGCTGGTCATCCGACCTCTGGCTTTCCATGGGGTAACAGCCACTGCTGGAGCGGTACAAGATAACACTCCTTTGTGCAGAGGTGGCCTGAGGAGCTGGGCTGGAGGCCTCCATGTGACACTGTTGCTGCTGCAGTTGGTGGTGTTGGTAGTCCATGGCACTTTCAGACAATTGTGTGCCCTGCTGGTGAGGAGAAACCAGAGCAGCATGGTTGCCATGGTAAGACCCAGTTGGCAAGCCATTAGCAAGCCCATCTGGAATCCCGTTGCTTTCCAACCTGGTCATCTCCAAACTTGAGGGCTCCTGCTTTATGTTGTAGCCCATTGGTTCTGGGCTGTCCCTGGAGGAACTGTCAGACATGTCAGACATGGATCCACAGGGAGAGTATTTGTGGAGCATGGTGTGGCGCTCACCACGGCTTGACTGCTCAGGTTCAGATGAGTCTGAATTCAGCATCACCTGGGACGCACTGGAGTATCCACTGCTTGAGAGGTAGGTGTTACTGTTGGGGGTGCTGCTCCCGTTGCTACCACTGTTGACATTTGCAGCACTGTTGGAGATCTGCTGACTTTTCTCCATGTAAGAGGCTGTGCTAATGAGGCCAAAGCGTAACTTGAGCTGAAGGAGTTCTGTCTTGAGACGAACATTCTCCTCATTCAGCGCCATGACCCGGTTCTCTAGCACCATGTCATTAAGGCGGCGCTTTTCCCTTGAGCGCTTGGCTGCTTCATTGTTCTTCCTGCGTTTTTCCCAATAGGAAGCATCTTTCTTCTCATCAGAAATGAACTCTCGCTTGCGACGGGAAGTCAAAGCAGACTTGCTACCTTTAGATTGGCGACTGACACGCCCTCCACTTTCAGGATCAGGGGATGGGAGGCTTCCGCTGTAGTTAGAGAAATTGTCTACCTCCATGGCATTTTTGTTGCTGGTGGATGGAAGGTGAAGATGGAGACTTTCCATGTTTTCCCAACTGGGGGCTAGAGTTTGACTCTAGCAAAGGGCAAAGGTATGAGCCTTCAGCTTTGTTAATAAAAAGTGTGATCTAAGTCGCAGGATCAGCAAAAATTTCTGGATGAGGTATTTGTGCTCCTTGAAGAGATTGCCTCATTGATTTCTGTTGTGTATTTTTTTGAGATCAAAACGTTCAAGTGTCCAAATTAGCCAAGAAGATTAAAAAGAGTTGGAACTCCACAAAAACCTCAGACATTGAACTAGTGTTGTGTACAAAGAACTTTAAAAAAAAGAAACAAGTTTAGATTTTGAGCAGAGAGTCTTCTAGTTGGCTTGGTAATTTGTTGAAAGCAGTTTCTGTGGCCCCGCTAGAGGTGATTTCGAGTTTATCCTCAATCTTCAACAGTACTGTTATGCCTGTCAGGCTGCTGCCCTCCTTCTCTCAGCGTCTTACACAGAATATAGGTCAGTCGGTCTACTTTGGGGCTCCCTGAGGATGTGGCTTCAGTGCTGATGTTTGCTGACCACTACCTAGTTCATGAAAAGAGACAGAAGAGGAAAGAGAGAATTGGATTAGCACTGGAGTATATACTGTGGTATATTTACATTTTAGTCAAAGCAGACTTAAAATATGAACTGTAGTACAAAACTTTAATGTGAGATCCCTTTGTCTAAACTCGTTCTGTCACAATGACTCAGGTGGTGTGGTAGCTGTCACACTGTCTGAACTTACACAACACCACAAGCTGCTGAGCCTTCTTATGTCGTGTCAACATCGTAACTCTACAGGAAGCTTTGCCCAACTTACTGGTCTTGCAGCATAAAGTGAACAACAATGCCGAGCGCAGATATGGAAGGATGCTGATGCCAGTCTGGTGTTATGTAATAAGTGGATCTGCACTTAGTTTAGACTTGATTCCTCACTGCACGGCATTACACAGTTCATATGCAGTAATTAATAACACATCATTACACTGAGCCCTGGATTGCATTACAAACATGAAAAACTTATTTTAATGGCACACACACACGCACACACACAAAATGCAGTAATCTAGGTCACCGGGCCTGTGTGTAACAATGACTCCTCTGGTGTCACTTTTCATACGCATTGGAATTGCAAACTGGAAATCAAGACTGTGTTAAAACTGCAAATGCTGTCCATCCTTGTGGCAAAATTTAGGTCAAAAAGGTGACCTACAATCAGTGAATACTTTTTATTTACTATAGCATGCAAAGATAAAGTCAGGCATACAGAGGAATTTTGGGGCGTTGCCGATGAAAAAACAAACAGTTCCTGGTCCCGGTTCATGGCACCATTTCTGTAATGTGCTATGATGAAGTGTGGAAACTTTGACTAGACATGGTGCAAGCAGAGAAGACATAGACCTGAACAAATAATCTCTCCCTACTGTTCCTGTGATTTAAACTGTGATGGCCAGAGGGCAAAAGAACAGCCGAATATCACGTACAGAGAAGTGTATGTGCTCCGGTGGAACGAAACTTACAAACAACTTCCTTTGCAGAGCAGTGTCAATGCCACATAACTATTTAATCTACTGAACATCTTCTCCAGACTGCGTACATACTTCTCTGCTTCGCCCTGGAATCAATGACCCTGTTACATAAACCCACATTGTGACTCTGAAACAGTTTGGCTACAGCTAAGAATAACTAACTACTTATTAACCCATGCCTGTGATATTGTGGCTCAGGGGCTACATAGGTTGGGTGCTATTCTTCAAATCTAGTTTTTCTGTGAGTGGCAAAACATGAGTTCTTCCCTCCCTTGTTTGTCTCCTTTTCTTGAAGGACCGGAGTGAAGCTATGCTGAACAGACAGGGATTTGGACGCAACCACCAACAGATGTGGAAAAATGTTAGGGTCAGACCCCACCTCCCCCCCAACCCCGAATAAATTTCATAAAGACTGGCAGGGGAGGGAGGGATGGGGTGAGAAACAAAGGCGGGCTAGAAGGAAGCACGCATACGTCTGCGCTGTCCCACTGACCTAGAAACGGCGCTAAGCGGTAAACACTCCTCCTGTCTTTGACGGTGCGCCATAAAATAGGTCAGTGGGACTGCATGGGAGGGAGGGCAGGAGAGGAAAAGAGTATTAGAGTGCACGCTAAAAATAGAGCAACAGATAGAGGTGAGGGAGGGAGGAAGCCTAGGAAGGATGGGGTGACAGGAGGAATTCGTTGGGTGGAAATGAGAGGAATTGTACACAAACTGCGGCAGGGAGAATAAAAACAGAGAGAGAAAAAGAGAGACATACTTGAATACGCCATCTGCCCAAAAATAGGATTATGACAGCCCCAGTGATTTTTCATGCAACATTAATTCCTGTTCACTCTGGAAACCCTGCGACGCCTAATGCAGCACGTAACTATATGTACCTTTGGCAGATGAGAAACGACAGCGAGAGACGGGGAGATGGCATTGACGTCAGAGCACACACCCATCTCTGCAGCCAAATTCACACATAACAGGCCTCCTCTCTCAGGACTGCATGGGGAGGGGCTGCTGTTGTTGCTCGTAGCGTACGTGCTCTGAATTTCTCTTGTGGCGGAGCGGGGCTTGTGTAACACATGCATATTACATAGCAGCAGAAGCTACAGGTTTCTGGCTGCGAATGCCTCAAATCTCCCCTTGTTCACTCTCCTCTCTGTTTTGTTCCCTGAATGAAAAAGAGAATAGACACTGGGCAAGGTACGCTGTGTAATTGGCTCTTCGTGCGGAGGTGGATTTCACATTAAAAAGGGCTGATCCCCTGCAGCTACTGTGCAACACTGGGTCTCTGTGTTTTTCTCACTGAGGGAAAAACACAGTGAGGGAAGTAGTTCTCAGGCACTTGCTGCTCCAACAGGAATGCTTCACCTCTGACCTCCTCTGAGGCAAGTGTGAGTAAAACGCAAGGCATCCTCTTCCCCTCCTCCATCTTTTAAGTGATCCAACACCACACACGTGGAAGGGGCCCCTGCAGTAGCCTCCATTTTGCCCAAAGAAACATAAACGAGGAAGCCGGAATCCAGACATACCAGGTCAGTTAGTGAGACCTACACGACTGTGTTGTTTAACACGTCCTCACAGGAACATATGACTAAAAGCACTTTAGATAAATGCACTTTTTTGAGAAAATGGTTTGACCTTATTTTGAAATGTATTCTTTAGTACATTTTAGCTTTTTAATCATTTTAATCTTACTTGTTCAATTAGAAACCTGTGACCTTCATCTTTTTCACTTAAATCTCAATTCCCACATCTTCACAAACAAATCAATGGTTTTAGCTGCTTACACTGAGCAGATTCACAAAGTAAAAAACTTAACTAACACATTGATTAACAGTCAGTCAAATGAGAGAACTGGGCCAAATGGCTAAAGTTACTAAACTCTGCATGTGGTCTTGAATTCCTCAACGAGACAGGCAGAGTGGATAAAGTAGTCCACGCCTTGCCCTGTATACCTCATGTGTCTCATCACCCAGATACCCGTCTGACCTATATTCAGGGAGCTGGCTGGGACAGAGCAATGCAGACGGCTCTGAAAACCAGACCAGCTGGCAGCGGGGCGGACTAAGAGCTCACCAACACTCTGCCTGCCCTTCACCACACAGGAGTTTCCACACATTGCATCACATCCTGAATGTTCACTTGGTGTTCTAATTTCACAACAAAGGCACAGGCAAAGACCTCACTGGGATCTTGGGAGATGAGCTTTGTGCCTGAAACAGGAAACGCTGTTACATCTGTTTTAGCCTGACTTCTGCTTTTTTCTTCTTCCATTTTTGCTTTAGACTGAGCGAGTTAAAAATAGCTTGCATACTCTGAGCAGCTGTGTTACCTCACAGATAAAAGCATGTCTATAAAATACAATCTTCCTAAATATCTCTCTGCCTCAGAAATAAGTGTGTGGTGTTACTGTGGGTATGGAGGGGTGGGAAGAAAGCACAGGGTGTGAACGGGAATCAATTACTGGCCCCGCTGTCCCAGGAGAGAGCTGCAGTTTATTGCTTCTCCCTGCTGTGCCTGGTTATGTCATAGTCTCCAACTCCCTGAAAGCGAGGCTCTGTGCTTTACTCAACACACCTCAGAACTCAAACATCCATCCACTGACTCAGAGAACAGAAATTAGACATCGTGTGCTTATTTCTATTCTTAACCTATATTACAGTGATGTAACCTGAGAGCAGTGATGCTGGACACATGTGGGGCAACAGTGGATTTAATGGAGACGTGAGCATGAAAATGTCCAGTTGATCCAGTTTTAGTAGATTACATTTTTTTTTCTCCTGTTGTATCTATACAATACATATTAAACAATAACAATGCATGATATACATACTTAAAATAGAATGCTGTTTGGCTTTTTTGTATATTGGTTATTGGCTTTATTTATCTAAAATCTTTAATTACATTTGAACTGATTTTGTTCAAATGTGCCCAACAATTTAAATTAATTCATAAATTAAAAGAAGCCGCGATGTTTGCATCAGATGGAGAGATTATTTTATCTCTGCGATAGTGATAAAAAAAAAACAACACAGTATCCGTACATACATAGAGCAGCACACCACGTGCATGAGCTCCAATAAAACACGGTGTGTCTGCATTAACCAGACAACACTGCTGCTGCCCTCATTCACTGGAAAACACCAGCATGGGCGAAAATACGTCGCCTTGACATTGAGCACATAATGTGGAGAGTGGCCAGCCGCCTGTTCTCCACTGCTGCCTCGTGTTTGACGTAGAAAACAAAGGGAGAGCGCGACAGCGGCAGAGTGGCAGCTCCGCACATCTCCCTGTCACCGGACACAAAGCGGCCGTGAACGTCTCAAAGTCACGGGCGGAGGCGCGAGGTCCGCCGGTCCCAACCGGGAGAGCCGCCATGTGAACAACACCCGAGAGCATCATGTCCTCACGTCCACACACACACACATGTTCAAGCACACAACACAGCGTGTAGACGACACAAAGAAAACACAACAGGGCTGAAAATGCAGCGGCTCGCTCCCACGTACCTTTGAGGAGAAGAAAGAAAAGGTTCCCCGACACAAAGCTGTCTGGCTCGTCCCCGTGTCCGCCTCTGCTTCTTCTTATTTTTTCTTCTTCTTTTTACAGGAAACCTCCCGAAAAGCAAAACGAAGGAAAATGGAAGACAAACAAGTTTGCGGTCCTGTGCGTGCTGGGATCCGTCAGTGGCGCTGCTGGATGCGGTGTGAGTCTCTCCTGGCTCGGGCTGCCTGTGCGCTGTGTGCCGCCGGACACTTTGCTCCAGTTTCCCCGGCTCCCTTTCTAGAAATATGTGTTAGTAGGTCAGCGGTTGCATAACAGCTCTTACGCTGCCTAGTCACGTTTTTGTCCTCTGTCTCTCCTCGCGACGCCCTCTCTCCCCCTCTCTGTCTTTCTCTCTCTCTCTCTCTCCCTCCCTCGCTCTGTGTGTGTGTGTGTGCGTGCTTTCTCTCCACCTTCATCCCTGAGCTGAAGTTCTCAACACGCACCGTATTAGCGAGGCGTCCATTGATGGCATGTAACAGCCTGTCCTTCAACAGAGAGAGTCGGTGTTAGCTAATCTGTTTTCTCGCATCGTGTATTTTTATCTTCGGATCATTTGTTTATTGATGCAAAACCACAATTATTTATTTCTTTAATTCATTCATCCAGACAACGACCTTTATGTGTGTCCCTGCACGCATATCTTTTTGAGGACAATGTTAAGCATAGACCCTACAGAGTGAGGACATTTTTAGAAAGTAAGGACATTTTTAGAAATTGAGGACATTTTGGCCGGTCCTCGCTTTTTTCAATGGGCTTTGATGGTTAAGACTTGGTTTAAAATGTCAAAAATAGTTCAGGTTAGGCATTTAGTTTGGATGGTTAGGCTTAGGGTAAAGGGCTAGGGACTTTATTATGTCACTGAGTGTCCTCAGATAGAACTATAATCTGTGAGTGTGTGTGTGTGTGTGTAATAATGCAGCTATGACATAATATATACATGGTTTGCAGAAAAGGCTGTTTTCATTTGATTTAGATAAATAGATGTATAGATCAGTGTGCACTCCTGGATATGTGGTTATGTAGTGACTTGCACAGTGGATAGAGACATCAGGATTGTTTTTTTTAACCTGATGACTTGCTGTGTAACTTTACTAGCACCGGTTGTGTAACTAATCTCTTCACATAGAGGTAAGAGGTCATGATCAGCTAAAGATCTCTATCCTTATCAACTAAATGGCAACAGGCCTGGGGCTTGCAAGCTGTAGTCATATTTTTTACACTTGATTTCAGAGGAATACGTTGTGCTTTTTACTTGGGTACACTTATTTCACGCACATAGTAAGGAGTTACTGGATTAGGACTTCATGCAAAGAACATAGTCACCTTAGAAATATGATCTATTATCACAGCTAATGTTGTGCAACAGTTTGTAAAGTAGATAAGAGGTGTACATAAAAATGACATTTTTGTTTACAATAGTTGTACATAAGTTATTATTGTACAATAATACAAGTACAAGGCATTCTGCTGTTTGATGAACACTTAAACTCTGGATACTTAAGCAGCTGTATGCTGATAACCCTTCTGTTAGCTTTAATATGATTGTTAATGCAGGACTGTTACTGGTAGGTTAAGGTCAGATGGTGTGGTGTGTGTATGCAAACATTATAAAGCAGCTTAAAGGGATAGTTCACTGAAAAAGTAAAATTCACTCAGTATACTCACAACTATACCAATGGAGGGGTGGGTGAAGTGTTTGAGAGCACAAACTTCTGGAGTCTCAGGGGTAAACAGCATTGCAGCTGTATCCGATACAAATGAAGTCAATTGTGACCAAATTTTAAACATAACATGCCTCCATACTGCTCGTGTGGTGTCACCCAAGTGTCATATTAGACTCGAAACAGCGTCAAGTTTTGGGCCTAAATGTCCTCCTCGGAGGCGAGTACACACACTCTCGCCCAAGGGCACATGTGGGGTGCGTGTTCTATGTCTATGTCCACTAGCATTGCCACTCCCGGTAGTGGACTTTTAGGCTTAAAACTTTTAGTTTTATTACCCCTGAGACTCCTAAAGTATTTGATGGACTCAAACAATTCACCCACCCCTCCATCGGTATAGTGGTGAGGAGATAATGGGTGAATCTCATTTTTTGGTGAACTATCCCTTTAAGGCAAATGTATAATTGGGGATATTTGGCTATATAAACAGAATAAACGAACTTCTACTAAATCCACCAATGTTTCTAATGTTCTTTATATTGTAGCGTATTCTTTCTACAGCGCAGAATATCACAATGTACACGAACTAACACCTCTACTCCCTGTTCTTTATAACAGATTTGCTTGATACTGTTGCATAGATATAACATCTGCATGTTTTTTTAATTCTAGCAGATTTATACAACACTTGTGAATTCACTGGGACAATATTATAAGCAGGTGATAAGACTATGCCACTTCCAGCCCTCATGTGTGGGAAAATAAACATCCTCACCAGATCCTCACCTGATTCTGACAGTCCCCATCCTTTTCCTGTTTAGTTAGCTCTGCCAAGCACGTTATGTTTCGTCCCTGTCTGTTTCTTTTGTGATGTGTTGTAATTATCACTATCACAGATTATCACGAAACTTGGTGGAAAGATGTGAAATTGGTCTGTAAAGAAACATTTTGGTGCAGATCCAGATATGGGGGTGGATCCATTAATTTTTTTTATCACTCTCCCTAAAATTGTGAGATAGGAGGTTTTTGAAAACTGACCTTGATTTCCAAGGGAATAATTTATGGATGCATGCCTTTCTAGTTTATTCTAGTTTAAGTCTCACTCATACACATGTGGGAATTCATGCTGATGGGCTTCAGATGCTTTCTGTTAGATTAGAGACATGTTTGCAGTGGCAGACAGCAAAGGTTAATATTGTAAACACATTAGCCATTTTTAATTATAATTTTATATATTTTTTCCCCGCCTTTATATAAATTTAACTTTCATTATATATTGATTATGCCATGGTCAGTATTAAGAATTTGGTCAATGGATTTTTGTTGATACAAATAATTTCCATTTTGGCAAGAAACCTTGATGGAAAATTGACAATCAAATAAAGGAAGGGAAATAAAAGTAATGATAAAACAATACATCAAACAACAGTACATCATTACCATTATTTTTCTGGATTGCACCATTTCATTTTCTTTGTTTTTGTTTATCTACACAGGGAAAGAAAGTGTATCATCTGGTTAGGAGCTTTTCTATTTATTATCCCACAAAGCCTGTTGTCCTCAGAACCACCATATTTCATGTGCGGTTACGTCAGCCCTGTTTTGTATCAGGCGCACATCCACCTCCAACCCATTCTCTCACTTACATCCCTTCCCCCTCCTTGTTTCTACACACACACTCACATACACACCATCACCCCCACCATTAGACCATGGGGGAACAGCGGCCTTGAACTTGTCTAGCTCCTCCCCCCACTATTTCTGTGCTGGAACCACCAACCCCCAACGCACTGATCCATCTCCGCATGCAGCTGCCTCTGCATGCAGGCATTCCCTTGGCAACTGTGGTGGTGCCTGCCTAGCAACCAAAAGGCTCTTGCTCGTTCCTATGTGGCATGGGGGGTTGTAGACTGGGCTGGATGAAGGTTGATCTCAGAACAAAAGATCTTACAATCACTTTGTCGTTGTTGTTGTTGTTTTGGAGACAGAAAGAAATAAGGCTGTGGCCTAAAGAACGTGTCTCTGCAGCAGCACATGTCTGCTGTTACCTGTTTAACACACTTACACATCACTATCCATTTGCATTGGACACACAATTGTAATTTCTAAGCTCCTGCTCCCTCTATCAATGTGCATTGAGCGAGAAAATAATAATTTTAATGTGGAAGTGCTCTGCTTCAAACACAATGAGGCACTACAGGAATCACAATGGAGGAGATGACCTCTGTAGTAACACTGCTGTGAATGAATGAATGAGTCAGTGATCAGTGCAGTGAAAGACACTTGGCGCCACCTGGTGCTGATGCAAAAAAGAGAGTCCCAGAGATGAAAGTATTCAAATAGCATAATAAATCACTCGAATAAATCTTTTTAATACTAAAATGCATAATTCAGTATTTACTGCAGTATTTCCACTGCTCTGAGAATCTATCTGCAGTTCCATTCTGTCTCCAGATGTTAATGTAGTCTGAACCTGCATCCTTCACTCTGATTTGGGCCAATCAGTCTCCACCGCAGAGACTTGGGGCCTAAAAATAGCTTTGTACTGCTGACGTGGAAGATGCGTCATGCAGAGTAATCTCACTCCTTTCCCTTTCTCCCTGGCACTGTCAGTGCCACTGCCCCCCCACCACCACACACACACACACACTTCAATGACCTTAGTCGATGCCAAGGTGGCATTAGCATTTAGCAGAATTCATTAACGAGAGGAAAACCATGCATGAAATTCAAAAGATATCACTTCAGCTGGAAAAGAAAACTGTGATATCATTCATACTGGTGAGCAGTGCACCTCCTCTCTCTGGTGCCATAACTCACATCGCTCCCTCTGCCACGCTGCGCCGAGTCTGTGATGTAACACAAACTGCAGTTGAAACATGCATGTTACCTTTAGAACAATTACAACATTTAGTATACAAAAAAAGATTCACTAGACCCTTGGATAAAATACTTTAATTTTAAAATACAGTTACAATTCTGGACAGTGATGTCGACAGTGATTTCTATGTACCTTGCAGTCATGAGATAAATGGGAAGCAGATATAGCAAAGAGCACAAAACCACAGTAAACTCCAAAACATCATATGTATCACAGATAATTTTATACTCAACATAACTTGATTTGAAAAGATTAAACTGTTGGTTGACAGAAATGTTAACATGTTCACATGTGTGTTGAACATGATGAGACTGCAGTTGTTTTTACAAATAATAACAGTTTGCATGCTTAATAATATAATGCTTTATTTCCAGAGGTTGTGACTGATGCGATCTTTCAAAATGCTGGAATTCAGCCTGATCCAGTGGATTACACGTGAATCCCCTTTAAGTCTTCAGTCATTGAGCATTGTTTTAAAAGTTGTCTTTCCTGGTAGTGGTGTGCTGATCGTCGCAGAACAAACTGATCACTAAACTGAATTTTTACAGAGAAACAGGTGGTGTTGTCAGCAGAGTGTGTCATCAGCAGTGGACAGCAGCCATCTGCTGGATTGTGCCAGATAGCTGATTATGTGAGGTGAAACATGTCCGTTAGCTTTGATGTGCCTCTGATCCTCTTCTGTTCTGGTTTTAAGTGACCTTGGAGATCAGCTGCTGAGAGAAGAGCCGTTTGAGCTGAGCCACTTCCTGAGACAAGCAGCTGATCTGCGACCTCAAACTGACGTCCTCAGTCGTATGTTTAGTGTCCCGGGAGTTTTGCACAGAGGAGAAGTTATAATACCCAGAGGACAGAGCCTGATGCTGCTGCCCGAGTCCACCGCCAGCTTCCTCCCTTGACCACGGGGCCTGACTTGCTGCCCGACTGTCCCACCCTGTCTGTTGGTGGTTCCTCACCTGCATGTTTGACCCCACCGTCACTACAGGCTGTTCGCTGTGTCTGTTATCACAGGAAGGAGACATCTCCCCTATGTCACTGTTGCCAGCGGGACATTTGAAGCGGAGCTTGTGCGGGAGACTCCTTAACCCCTCGGGGGAGTCTTGTTTGTTTACATACTGTCCCTCCACGGGACATATGTGGGAGTCAAAGCCCTGTTGCTCCTCGGCCACCTCCCTCGTTGAAGGCTCAACACGTTCACTCAACGTGTCATCAAAAAACACAGGGCTGCCTATGTTTGAGCTACTGGAGGTGGAAACACCGGAATCCTCGGATGCACAGTGACCTGACAGTGGCCCGCTTACCCTCGGCCCATAGATGGAAGGCTGCTGCTGAGGGTGGGAGGGGATTTGGTGGGTGTTGGGACTTTGCTGTGTGTTGAGGTATGAGGGTCCATCCGTTTGAGGCTGGTAGTAATGTGTTGTAGGGGGTGGTGGGTGTGCACAGAGGGGAACAGAGAGTGGCAGGATGCTCACATCAGAAGGATCTTTGACCAGACCAAAGCGAAACTTGAGGGCCAGCAGCTCTGCCCTCAGGCGAGCGTTCTCCTCCAGCAGACCCAGGACCCTCCTCTCCAGCACCATGTCATTGGCCCGCCGCCTTTCTCTGGACCTCTTGGCGGCCTCGTTGTTTTTTCTTCTCTTGTCCCAATAGCCTTCATCTTTGCTCTCGCTGGGAATGAACTCCCGTTTGCGACGTATGTTGTTGCCGCTGTCTTCATCGCAGCTGCTGACAGCCTTAGCTTCAGCGCTGGCTTGGCTCTCTTTGTGCTGGAGCAAAAAGGTGCGACCCAGGAGGCTTCGGGCCCGCTGGCTTGTTGAGGTCAGGATGGAAACGGCTTCATCGGTGAAGGACCCACACGCTCCCCCCAGAGGTCTGGACTCAAGTCCCTCCACAACCCGCAGTGATGGCACCGACAGGTCCTGGATGATGGCTCCCACGGGCTGATCCGTCATGTTCAACAAACACCTCAGGAAGCTGCAGGGTCTGTCAGGAGCTCACTGATGGCTGGATGTTCAGAGTGACACACACGATAATGGCACCACCTAGTGTTGAAAAAACATAAATACATATGATGAGGATTTGTTTACAATGTTGTAGAACATTTGATTAACATCTTGCATTTGTATTTGCTTTGATAGAATAATTAAAAAAATAGAATTTGACAGGAATAAAGTGAATTTGGTATATATTAATTATTTTGATGTTTTGATATAAAAACTGTAATTTCAACCGTAAATGTCCAATAACATATTTATATCAATTGATGCATTGTGCAAAAAAATCGAGTAATTTATAGAATCTTTATAAAGTTCAAGGTTGAAAAAAGTGAAAAAATAGTGAAAGTTCGATTCTCTTAAATAACAAATTTATTAAATGATTAGGATTCAATGATCATAACTTTAAACAGGCATTTACACTTAACTCTACCGAGATTTCAATTAGACTCTACTTCATAAATAGTTGACGGATTAGCCCAAGTTTCTTGTTGATGTTGACATAAAATGATTCTACTCACATATTAGATGATAACTCTAAAACATCTAAACAATTTCAATAGTAATGCAAACACTTTAATAAACTATTGACTCTCCTGATTAAAGCCAGTGTCAGGAAAGTGAAACTAGAGATGAGACGTTACTTACAGTGAACCAGGAGCTGGGCTGTGTGATGAGAAGCTCTGATCCTGTCACAGAGGAGACATGTGGAGCTCCACAGTTCGTCTGGATGTTTCCGCTCCTCACAAAACTCAGCTCCGCATCTCTGTGTCGCTTCTTCCCTCAGCTCATCGGTTCAGATGGGGTCGGATCCTCACCCTGGCTGACCCCTCCTCCTCCTCCTCCCTCCTCCTCCCTCCTCCTCCTCTAACAGGAAGCAGCCTCAGTAAAACCAATGTGGAGATTTAACAGCAACAAACCTGAGCTGCTTTTACACTCATCCCATAAAAGCTGTTCATATATATTTTTAGCTTGTATTACTGTTGGTAGACAACAACAGACAAGACTGAAAATAAATAGCAAATCAAAGAATTTATCTAAAAATAAAATAACTTATATAAATGTGTATAATAAACACACAGCTGTAGTTAGTTGTAGTTAATTAGGCTACTGGAATAAACCATAAGTCTCTATATTCATACAAGTTTTATTCATTCAACTTTTTTTATACAGTCGAGTACAGAAAACAAACAAAAATTCCAGGACAAAGTGAAAACACAAAGAAGAAACAATAAAATTTGCCAAAAAGTAAAATCAAGAGCAAAAGTAAAAGCCTCAGGAATGAATACAGTATATACATTTTAATTTATGAATAAAAAAAACAACTGCAGGTAAAATAGGTGAGATTAGAAAGCTAAATTGATAAAAATGGGTTAAACTTTCTCATTTTTGTGTAAAGATAAAAGTGAAGCCAATGTGTCTCAGTCGCACCCTAGTGGCTGTCTGCAGAATAGGTCATAAACCCTGCGTCTATCGTGTTAGCAGATAGGACATGGGCCAAACTAAAAAGTGAAAGTACACCTGAAATACATTTTATTCTTGTTTTGATGTATTTTTTCTATTGTCTTATGTTTCTCACCCCGGACACGTTTCCCGTGTACCACAGGGCTGACAGACAAACAGCCACCTAAGACAAACTGTCACTCAATCAACCAATCCCAGGAAAAACCCTCCCAGACACGAAACAATGCAAACGCTTCACAGAAAGACGATGCTAAAGCCAGTAAATGTTCGAATATTTTACAGGATAAGCAAAAACGTTGACCTGTTGGTGGTTTTAAGTCAGTAGGATTCATCTTCTGGTGATCATAACCATTGATGATTTAGATATTTCATTTTGGACGCAAGGCGCACGCAAAAACAGACCAAGAGTGTCACCCTGGGAATCCTGCCCAGCACCTGCATGGGTCACGAGAACACAACCATATAAGGTCCCACATGTGACCACATGTCCTTCAAAGATCTTATTTATACAGCTGTACCTGGAAGTGTTACTTTAGTTTTGATTTTGGCTGATTGCACAGTGGCCCGACGAGTTACACATTGCTTGGTTAACTTGTTCTTCGTCACACAGTGGAATAAATCCTATAAGCTCCATAGTGTTACAGTTACACACACATGGGTCACACTGATCTTCATAAATTACACAATATGTTTGACTCAGTTTAATAGTTTGAACAGGGTCATGAATCCTCACAAATATTCAGAAATCTATCACAAGAGGTTTAACATTTTAATTTGTAACATTCAACCTTTCCGCTCTAACTTACAGGATATCGAGTCTGTTTACGTCGTATTTTAAATAGAGAAATATTCTTTCTTGTGATTTTAACAAATAGAGGATCATTGCTGATCCATTTGAAACCCACCCACAGGTTTGGGTTTTCTCCCTCATTTTTTCTACATCACTATGTTAAATCAGATCATACAGTTACCAAAGCATGCAAGTGTGCACAGTCATCATCATGGCCTGAGTTGTCCTCATTTGCTCTTTGCAGTTCAAGGTAACACAGATACACTGAAGTGTGTGTTTGTTCATGCTCCCTTTGTATACTTGCATAAAAAAACATATGGTTGTGTATTTTATTTCCCATACACAACAGTTGCCAGTGTCAAACAACAAAAGCTTTTTCAGTGACTGTTGGCTTCAGTGTGTAAGAACAAACTAAATCAATCTCTGTGTTACGGCATCTGAGAGTTAATCCATAAACTAGATAACCATGAATTGTAAATGTAAAGGCAGCTGTGAGCAGCATGAGCCGCTCAGATGCCAGGAGATAATGTGAATGGAAAAGAGAGTTGTTATGCAATCGACCAAGACAGAGAGCATGTGAGGACTACGCTGTGCTGGAAGTTCAGCTGGGGTGAGGTTGCTCAGAAAAAAGGAACATTGTTCCACGAGCGGTCCGCTGCACAGTGACACTTCCTCCCCGCACATGGATATTCTCCACACAGGACCTCTCTGTGTCAATTTCACCATTTTCTTCCAAACAAGACAACAATTAACCTCTCATTCTTTCCTGTCTGTATGCACTGTATGTCCTCTCTGAGCCATTTACCAACAACAATGACACTATTGACCTGTTGCTTTGACCTAGACAGATTCATACGCAGACTCTGGTGAAGTCTTGAGAAAAGAGAAATGTACTGTCCCGAGGTTCTGGTTCAAAAATAAATATGGATGTGACAATGTCCTTCTAAGTCAGGGAATCAAAGTTATTCAAATTCATTCAGAAGGGGGCATGAATGATTGTAGTCACATCAACAAATGTCGGGAAATTCAAATCAAAACAAAAAATCTGAACCTGCCGGTGGTAGAGGACAACTTGGTGTAAGTCATTCTGCTTCATTGTCTGTAAATAATGAAAGTCTGTACATGGTAGGCAGAGTAGTGGACCAACTGACATTGTGCAGACCACTATCATAACCATAGACTGTTTGTAAAGATGGACGACTTGACGGTCCCCTAAAAGAAGCCAAAGCATCTTGATTGCCCCCTGGTGGCTGACTGCAGTACAATTTCACAAATCCTGCCTACTCCATGTTAGTGGTTTGAAGAAGGACCAAAATAAAAAGTCAAAAATGGGGTGAAAGGCCTTGATTGACAGCTGGGACTAACTAACTCCAATGTACAGCATGGCAGCATTTGTATCTAGGATATTTTAGCTTAATTTCTGGACAGATTGTAGCGTAATGTTTTTGAGTTGTAGTCTTCATTATTCTTCCTTGAGATTTTGTTTTTCAAATAATATTTAAAAAAATCCTGGAGAAAAGTTTAGATGTAAAACTGGATATGGGATTTACTAACTATTCTTTAATGTTAAATAAATACACCTAAAAATAAAACTAGAAAAGTCTGTGTCAGCACAGAAACTCTGTCTCTGTCAAGATGTTTGCCACATGTGCGTGTGCAGGAACACTTTCCATACTGACGCACCTTTGAACAAGATGACTCTTACCCTCAGTGGCTCTAACCGTGTCCCCATGTGTGAAGGTTGATGCTGTAAAAGACCAACAATTGCTACATCACTGGACATGCTTCACTGCTGATTCGTCCACTGTGAAGCATTATGTAACTGAAATATTGTGCAAAATATGAAAGAAGCAACAGTAAACACATTTGCAGACATGTTAACAAGAGAATATTCTTCAGTTGCATCCCAAACCGTCTCCTTCAGAAAAAACTGTTTGTGTCACAGGACTATTCTGGTAATCTGCCATGTTTTTAACCCATTCGCTTTTACTGCCAAGGAACATAGATGTAACATCTTGCCTTCAAGAGAGCTACAAGCGTCATGTTTATGTGGATAAAATACCATTTTAAGAGCTTGAAAACTACCGGTAATTGACCCAAATTAGCATTTTTCACTTTTCTTATATAATACTGGAGGTAACGTTTCTGTGGTTTCTTCTTCTGACTCCAGACTGCTGACAGCCAGTCACCAAAAAGTAAAGTAACTGCTTAAATGAATGCAACCATTGCAATTATTTGTCTTTATTTTTTTTATCCTTGTAGCACTATGAAGCTATGCTTTCAATTTGTTTCTTTCTTTCTTTCCTTCCTGATCAAATAAAACACATTCATGTCAGTGTTTTCACCTTATTTCACAAATCTTATGTCATGGGAATGTGCCAGGAAGCCTTATGCATCAGCAAAGTCAGGGAAGAAGATAGCAAAAAAGTTGCAGGACAATAAATCATAGATTATTCCATATGCTGTATATTACCGATAAGGTTAATTCACATCTAAAACAGTTATTTATGAGAACACCAGTGGCAGCTGAGTTTGCAAATTCACATGATAAGTAGTAGTAGAGGGAAGATAAATTATTGAGCAGCAGTCTCTCACTATCATTTATTTATCTTTATTGTTTTAGATGTAAATATTGCATGACACCCTGGAGGATATACTGTATACACCTCAGATTACAGCGAAGGTTCGAACATGTCCAGAGCAGAACGTGTCTGTGTGTGTCCGACTGTTAAGACTTGGTTTTAGGATCATTGTTAGAAATAGGGTTTATGCTGAAGTTAAGGTCAGTAGTTATGGTAGGCATAGGTTGTGATGCTCAAAGAGAAATGTTAAAGTCAATTTACTTTTCAGAGGGAGAACTGTCTGGTCGACCAGTTGTATAATCTCTTCTGAGGAGATTTATCAAGTCAGAGAAAATAACTCAAAGACGTCAGTTTCCAAATTGAGTTTGAGATTTAGATTTAGATTGGACTTTGGATTTTTAAAAGAAACTGTCTGATGAACTGGGCAGGCGGAGCTGGAAAGACATTGGCATTTACCAGGCGGGCAGGCTCCAACAAAAGGCAATTTGATCATTTCTTTAATGTTTGTTTTTTTGATTCAGGTTGACAAAGAGATATTCTTATTTTAAACAGTGTCTGTATTAAATCACAGAAATTCAAATTTCATGTTAAGATAAGGGTTTTTCATTGCATGTTCTCAGAGAAAGCCTTTATGTGTGTATGTGTGTATGGTTCATTATAGCCCAGAATAAGGCAGAGAGTAATTGACTCTGGCTGCAGTGGACAGTGGCCTTGTTTGACTTTTTGTGCATGTGTGTGTGTGCAAGCTCAAGTTCAAATCAGGAGAACCATCCCACCCACCCACCCCCTCTCCTCCTCTCCCTCCCTCCCTCTCTCTCTCTCCCTCCCTCCCTCCCTCCTTTTTCCATTCCTCGATCCACTTGGACTCACAATCCCCCGTCAACAGTCTCAGTGGTGCAGTGGCTTTCACCACTCTAATCCTCATCCTGTTCTCGGACA